TCCATCGCGGATGCTCAGCCACAGGACGTGCCGCAGTGGAGCTGGGGTTCTGCCGTGCTAGCAGCCACGTACCGTGCCCTCTGTGAGGCGTGCACGAAGACTGACGCGGGAGCGATCATCGCTGGCTGCCCTATGTTGCTTCAGCTTTGGGCAGCCGAGAGGTTTGCCATAGGTCGACCAGTGGTGGACAGCGCACCCTACGGGGTTGGTCGCAGCGCGCAGTGGCCAGAGGACGGACCCACGATGGAGACTTACTGGTGTCGACGTGGGGTTAGTGCAACTTCGCTGCGTTATAAGTTTATCAGTCGTCTTTTTTTTTCTTCACATAACATGTCTAATTCCGATCATGTTTATTGCAACGTCGTTACGCTCACGTCCAGGTGAGACGTGGTTACCCGGACTTCGTGTTCGAGTTTGACCGTCTCCAGCCGAGCGACGTCATCTGGGAGCCGTACACAGAAGAGGCCGTCGCTGCGAGAGCACCGCTAGGACTTTCGTCCTTGTGCACACGCGACCAGGCTTACTGGCTCACCATCCTGCCAATGGTGTTCGACATTTTCGTTGAGCCTCACTGCCCGCAGCGTGTGATGAGACAGTTCGGACTTAGGCAGGTGTTTCCGGGCAACGTGCAGCCGACCGTCCTCCCTGCCGACCACTCGTGAGTTCGGATTGTTCATTTCTAAATTTTTATGATAATTACTTCATCGAGCCATATAATTTACCTCTCTTCACAGGTTGACTCGACGGGGACAGCTAGCAGGCGCACTTTGGGCTCCATGTGTACAGCAGTACGTTGACGACTGGGTGTTAGCTACAGAGGAGGTGATCAACGAGCTCTTCCCACACACGGAGGAGAACTACCGTGACTACCTTCGCTGGTACCTTCCTCGCACTCGTGCGCGTGTGACCTTCACTCCAGACGCCCCAGAGCCGCACGTTGCCGCTGTCACGGACGCGTATCCCACGCACCGTGACCGAGACTACTTCGTGGCGGTACGTCCAATTTGTATTACTTCTTACAATTATTTCATTTATCTTGCATAATATAGGACAACTACTGAATTTGTTATTTCCATCTTGCATAGGCTGATGCCGCACGGGATATCAGTGCCGATATCACCGCAGTCCAAGTGAGGTTGAACAGAGGTTTGCACTTGACTGACGTTGAGCAGAGGGTGACCTTCGACCGGATGCAGGAGAAGATGCGTGCGGTCATGCGCGTCTTCTCCTGTCGCAGCGCCGTGGACGTCGTACCTCCAGCTGGTCCGGTACAACCACGGCCTCGTGCGCCTACCGTCGGAGCAGGACCTCGACCTACGGCACCTATTTCGCACGGTACTGCTCAGCCCAGAGGTTTCTTAAGTTTTGTTTCTGTTTTTGTACGAAAACATCACCCCGTCGTAACTTGATGATCCATCCTCGCAGGACCTCGTTTGCCTTCGAGCGCCCCTAGCTTCGGATCAGTGCGACCTACAGCACCGGTTTCGCACGGTACAGTTCAGCCCAGATATTACTTCATTTTTGTTTCAGCTTTTGCACGATTATGTCACCATGTTTTAACTGCACGTTTCCTCATCGCAGGACCTCGTCTGCCTTCGAGCGCGTTCGCAGGCACGACCGGCGCTTCCACGAGCTCCGCAGGGGCGTTCGCCACCTCTTCGGGCGCGTTCGCCAGCTCTTCCTCTCACGGAGCGTCGATCCCTCGCCCACACGGTACTTTACTTTTTATTAATACTGTTAAATACCTGTACGAAACTGATGGTCCTTGTCCAGCAGGATTTGCAGCCGGGATCTTCGGTACTGGGGCCTCTTCGTCTCACGCCGGTAGGACTGGTCCTACTAGCCAGTTCTACGACGACGACTTGCACGGTGCAGACCACCACGACGTACTAGGCTCCTCTCAGCTTGGAGGAGCTCCAGAGGCGCACACTCAGGAGCAGCCAGAGGTCACACCTGTACAGGCAGGACGGGTTGGCCGTGCCGTACCCCCGGACCGACTCACGTACTCCCACGGGCACATTAGGGCGCAGGGTAGGAGGGACAGGGGTAAGAGGCCTCGTCAGTAGTGTTCTACCTCTTCAGTCCTTATGTGACCGTTTCTTTTGGCTTACAAACTTGTAAAGCAGTACTACTTTTGCTATTACTACTGGAGTACTACTTGTGTTTGTCTCGTCTACATAGTTCTTTTAATTCATATGGTGCTAGAACAACTTATGCTCACGACAACACACTTTCGGCGCTGCACGGTAGTGTCAGATCCAGTAGCGCGCACAGTCCACAACAGCACACATGAAAAGCGGCAGCTCGAGTTATCACTATCAACTTTCGGCGCTGCCTGTTTACATAAAGTGAATCACGCCCACGCGTGATCGTCTTGTCACATCTAATGAATAATGTATCTCATTGAGTTCACATATATTGCAGTGAAAACGACGCTATATAATTGACAATCTGAAGGCAACCTCTTCATATTTTCTTTCCCACTAGCACACAACACACGAAAATGAAAGCCTATTCATTGGTAATACGTAATCTAGATTTGAGATTATGTAGAACATTCTTCACTACAATTTTACATTTTGGCAGCAAACCAAATATGATCAAATGCAATTTTACCTTACCAAATATTTGGTCGTGAAGAAAAATTTGGCACTAACAATCCAAATATGCCCTAAAAATTAATAAAATATTTGTACGGTAACAAAATATTTGTACGGTAACAATCCAAATATGCCCTAAAAAATAATAAAATTGTATTTTACCAGTCTTGGAGATTTTAATCTTGTATAGTTTTCAATATAAAAAGATTTGATAACTATTGATATTTATACAAAAATATAGAGCACAGTATAAAATCGCCCGAGCGGAGGGCGGCAAGGGGGCCGCCTGCAAAATTCCATGCCCCCTCGCCGCCCATTTGCAGGCGGCCCCCCGCACAGTACAAAATCGCCCTCGCGGAGGGCGGCAAGGGGGCCGCCTGCAAAATTCCATGCCCCCCCTCGCCGCCTATTTGCAGGCGGCCCCCCGCACAGTACAAAATCGCCCTCGCGGAAGGCGGCAAGGGGGGCCGCCTACAAATTTCGTTGACGGCCGTCGCCCGAAAGCGAACGGCCGTCTGCCACGTCATTTTCGCCGCCCTCTGGGAGGGCAGGGCGGTAGGCGACTACTTCCGTTAATTTTTAAAATGAAAAATTATTTTTGTAAAACTTTTAATAAAAAAAATTAAAAATAAAAAAAAATTCGACATGAGATGTCCAGAGCCCTTTATCTCCCTCTCTCGTCTCACTCTCCATAACGCCACCGCTTTGACTGCTGTCGATACGTTTCAATGTCTCGGCTTTGACTGCCACTTGAGCTCGGGCAATCTTCATGCCCTGTTTAGATGGGACTAACACTAAGTCCCTATCACATCGGATGTTTAAATATTAATTATAAATATTAAACGTAGATTATTAATAAAACCCATCCATAATCTTGGACTAATTCACGAGACGAATCTATTGAGCCTAACTAATTCATGATTAGCCTATGTGATGCTACAGTAAACATTCTCTAATTATAGATTAATTAGGCTTAAAAAATTTGTCTCGTGAATTAGCTTTCATTTATGTAATTAGTTTTATAAGTAGTCTATATTTAATACTCTAAATTAGTGTCTAAAGACAGAGACTAAAGTTAAGTCCCTGGATTCAAACACCACCTGAAACCACACACTTTTTACTGCCATCCCCCCTAGTGTGCAGTCGCTGGCGTTGCCCATCTCGATCTATCTTCCCCAAGCTTCAAGTGTCAAATCCAGACAACGACCGACGACATCAACCTTCATGTGTGTCGGGAAGCCAGGGATCCGGACCGGGCTTTGGTAAGCTTCCCTCCATGGCTTGTCAATTCACGGCGATAAGGTGTTGCCTGTTGTCATCTGTCCATCTCTAGTTCTATTGTGCGAGGCGGATAGCAATGTCAGAGAGATAGGATGTTCACGGTGTTTTTTTTTTTCCAGAGTATTATTTGTCAACTTCCTAGCTAATTTTTTTTTCTTGGGAAGTTGTTCTGGCTTGTCCCGAGTCCTGACCTCACTCTTTAGTCTAGGTGTTTTTAGTGAGATGTGGATTTGACGGTGATTTTCGGGAAGGCTCTTGTTGACCCATCTTTTTTTTTTTTAATTTGCATGACCATATCCAACGGTATATATTGAATTTGTGTTGCATGTGACGAGTGACGACTATTATTCAACATGACGTGGGTTATTCTAGAATTATCACATGATTCACTTTTCACTTTGATAGTTGGGGCTGTTGCCAGTCAAGGCTGCAGCTACGGCTGCACATTGCTTCTGCCGTACTTGCTTGACTGTTTCTGTTGGCTGCAGCGCTATTGTTGACCAGGCAATCGAACTACCACCATCTTGACATACCTCTTCAACTTACTTCTCTGGTTCTCTAGTATCTAGTATCACTCTATAGCCATATCTTAATTTGTACACCACCCCTACAGTACACCTTAACAACTCTTTTTTTATAACTATACCATAACAACTTGCACCTGTGTTCGTTCCAGTGACATTGGGTGAGAAAGCTCCTCGTTTTACGCGCGCACGCTTCTCAAACTACTAAACGGTGCGTTTTTTAAAAAAATTTCTATAGGAAAGTTGCTTTAAAAAATCATATTAATCCATTTTTGCAATTTAAAATAGTTAATACTCAATTAATAATATGCTAATGGCCCACCTCGTTTTGCGTATCTTCTCAATCTCTCCAATCCCCTTCTCCTCAAACACACCCTAAGTAGCCTTTCTACTATTCCCTATAATAATTTCTAAAAAGAAAAATAAACAGAACAAACCAAGATTCTATCAAGTCACATCTTGCTTTTTAGACAAAAGTGAACTCACATCTATCTAGTCTGATTTAACCAACCATATGAAATTTTTTTCACAAATTAAAATTCCATCTGTCGACCACATAAAATGTAGCCAAGTCTTAGACGCATGACATATCATATTCGGTAGATGTATTTTTCTTATAACGGGGATGCATATACACATATAGAGATATAGTTTGATTTATCAAGGTGGAGCATATCAATTTGATACTAATTCAGTAGAATTTAGTCGATTCTGAATTTGCCCTTCCTTTCCTACTACTACTCGTGGAGAAATTTGCATATGTGCCATCCTTAAAAACTGGCTTCACTAGAATACTATCGTTAAAATGGCATTCGCCTCTTAAGCTGTGGGAATTCGCAACAATGCCATTTTCTCTATTTGTTGCACTTGTAAATCATTTTCCATCCATTTATTTTTTTCTCGGACCTTTTTGTCCCTGGTTGCACCTTCTCTCTTCTCCTCTCATCCTTTCTTCTCTCTTTTCTCTCCTCCACACGCAGGGAGAAGGCGAGGTGACGGCGGCGCGCCGCGAGCCGAGGCTGTGCGCCGGCAGAGAGAGGGCAAGGTGGTGGCGACGACGGGGAGGTAAGAGGATGCTCAAAGCTCGCACGTCCATCCCCCACCGGATCTGCCTGCCACAGCCCAAGCACCACCGCCACTCCTCGTCGTTGCTCGAGCTCCACTACCAGGACCACCGCCTTCCTTCCTCTGCGCGCCGGCAACTCCTCTTCCCTCTACGATGCCAGTGGACAGCGCCGCCGCCTCCCTCCTTCCGCACGCCTGCCGCAGTCGCCGCCGGCCCATCGCCGCCTCCTTCCTTCCTCCTTCCGCGCTAGCGCCGGTGCCGCCTCCCTCCTTCCACGCGCTTGCACCGCCAGGTTCGCTTCCTGGTTTGCTGCGAGTGGAGGAGAGAGAATAGAGGAGAAGAGTGAAGATGCAGCCGGAGGCAAAAAGGTCTGAAAAAATTAAATGGATGAAAAATGACTTATAAGTGTATAAGAAATAGCGAAAATAATATTATAACGAATGCTCACAGCTTAAAAGTAGGATAAAAGCGAATCCCATTTTAACGATGAACATCCTAACAAAGCCAGTTGTTAAGGATGGCTAATGTGCAAATTTCTTCTCCTCGTGCAATTCGTATCTCATTTCCACTCGTGCCATTTTCGCTCCCAAGTCCCAAACCACGGCGACCCGCCGCCATCCATCCCCCTAAACCCCTAGCTAGGGTTTCCAACCACCATGGCGACCACGCCGGCGGCAGCGGCAGCGGCGGCGGCGGCGGGGGGCGCGGCGATCCTCGACACTCTCGGGGACTTCACCTCGCGGGAGAACTGGGACAAGTTCTTCGCGCTCCGCGGCACCGGCGACAGCTTCGAGTGGTACGCGGAGTGGGACGACCTCCGCGCCCCGCTCCTCTCCCTCCTCCATGGCGGCGGCGGCGCGGAGGGCGGAGGCAAGGCCCCGGAGATCCTGGTGCCCGGGTGCGGGAGCTCGGTGCTCTCGGAGAGGCTCTACGACGCCGGGTTCCGCCGCGTCACCAACGTCGACTTCTCCCGCGTCCTCGTCGCCGACATGCTCCGCCGCCACGCCCGCGCGCGCCCGGAGATGCGCTGGCGCGTCATGGACATGACCGACATGCAGGTACGGCCACGACCCCCCGTGCGCTTCATCCGCTTCGGTGTATTTGTTGGCTGCTTTGGAGCTAGGATTTTCGTAGTGCTGTTGCGGTGTGTGTGGGGGCGAATCTATACGGAATTGCGGCTCTGCTTGGAATTGATTTTGTACTGGACCACGCAATTAGGCATTAGCCACCGAATTGAGGATAAATCGGCACCGACCATTTTTGGTACTCGTTGTCTTTAGTGGAATGGTTAACTGAATTTCGTATCTGATGGCTAGAATGGAGGCTCTTGCTAATGCCATGCTCTTGGAGGTTGATGAGTAGGCAATGCTGAGAATTCAAGCATATTTGGTTGATTGTGAATGCTTCTGAACATATTGTCATGCAAATCATCTAAATGAATGAACGCATGTGGTGTGTTATTTTCACCCTTGGGCAGCTTGCACCAGATGCTCATGATTTTAGTTTGTCGCGTGTGTGACATGATGGATCAAGCAAATTACAGAAGGGGGCAACTCATTTGGTTGAAACCCTGAATGAGCCTAGTGGAATAATTGTGGGGCTTTTATGTTTTATGCTTCTTACAATGGTAGCGAACTGTTACATTCTCAATGTTTTCTGTACACAATACACTTTTAAAGAGTTCTTTTCATTTTCCCTTGCCATTTTTTAAGAATTAGAGGGTTCTTCACTTCTTCTGACTGAGTGTTTTTTTTTTTGTTTTCTGTTTGTCCATCAACCTGTAACTCGATATCTTATTGAACCTACCTGATGCATCAAATTGCCAGTTCACAGATGGATCATTTGATGTCATACTTGATAAGGGTGGACTGGATGCTCTTATGGAGCCAGAGGCTGGCACAAAACTAGGGATGAAATATCTAAATGAGGTATTAAGTGTAACATGTTTCCAAATTTAAATACTGATGTTTGATGTTGTAATAGAAATACCATTTTGAATTTTAAATGGTGCATGTTAGTGTTGCATTCTTGATTTTTTATATATCTAATGGAATTTATGGAAATGTTTTGTTCTTTATGTTATGTCTGACTTAGTAAGCGCCTCTTGCTTGTCTTACAGGCAAAGAGAGTTTTGAAATCAGGAGGGAAATTTGCTTGCCTTACCCTTGCAGAATCCCATGTCCTAGGTGAGCTTCTGTCAATTATTGAGAGAACTGATTACCTGACAATTGAAGTCTTTTCCTGTTACATAGTTACACTTAGGACCTCCAATATGTCTTACAGTTTTGAAGTATTCTAGTGAATATACTTTCAAATTTTCAGCTATACTTCTTTTGTTTTGCTTTTAGTTGACCAAAGATATCGAGTATTGATTTTTCATGTTTCCATAGAAACTTTGATCATTGCTTTTATGACTGCATCAATATTCTTCTTATACATCTTAGTGACTTTGACTATTCTTAATAAATATACTTCCAATGTTTCCAGGGAAGCTTTAATAACTATATTAGCGTGAAACTATAAGTTAAAAAAAAAAACTTTATGATTATGAATGTGTTTTTAACAATAGAAATAATGGTGTTTTCTTCTCTTCTTTCTTGGAAATCAATGATGTACTTTTTGCAGATAATCTGCATACTTTCATAGATATTGTGGTCTGAATCAAAATTTCAAAACTGTTCCACAAATGATATAAATAACCAATTTAATATCTCGGAGGTTATTTTCGTAATTGACTAACAGTGTTTTGCTCCTTTCTCTCCTGCAGCTCTGCTTTTGTCTGAGTTCAGGTTTGGATGGGATATGAGCATTCAAGCTATAGGTAATGAATCCTCTAAGTCTGCCTTCCAGACTTTCATGGTGGTCATGGTAAAAGGAAAGATGGGTGTAGTACACCCAATACAATCACTATTAGACCAATCTGGTAAATTCTGTAACATGAAACAGGTACTGCTATATTCTTCTGATGGAAAACAAATAATTAATTCCTGTCGGTACTCTTACTCTTATATTTTATATTGGTGCTGCAGGCAAATGATGTGATTCATTCTCTTGAGAAGGAAAACACCATCCGGGAGTCATACAGTTCTGGTGTTGATATTACTTTGTCATTACGCGATCTTCAGTTAGGAGCTGTAGGAGATCTGAAGGTGATTATCCCAGGACGACGAAGGATGTTCATTCTTGGTGATCAGGGAAATTCACTTTATTGCTATAAGGCTGTTCTCTTGGATGCCAGAAAGCGAACTGAGACCTTTGTATATCATTGTGGAGTTTTTATTGTGCCTAAGGTCAGCTATATACTGTCAATATGCAGCTTTGATTTTTGTTGCAGTACTTACTGTTATTTAATTTTACTCAATCCCCTACTGATCATTTTCTTGATCTACTATGTCGTATAAGAAACAAGCATATGATAAAATGATCAGAAAATATACTTGAAAATCAAATTACACTAGATGGAATAGAAAACTGTGTTGATCAATGTTATTTAGGGTCCACATGTATCCATGTTGTTCACTTCCTATACCAATTTCAATGCATATATCAAATACTACATCATTTTCAAAATATATGACGCCGTTGACTTTTCTCATAACATTTGTTTTATTAAAAAAGTTAGTATAAATATGTAATACTATAAGTTAAGATTATAGTCTCTTTGATGATAAAACAGGTCACAACAAAATAAATGATACTTATATAATTTTTTGAATAAGACGAATGGTCAAATGTCATGCGAAAAGTCAACGACATAGTACATTTTGGGATGGAAGGAGTATTGTGTTACTTTTTTAAGCACATGCCTGTTGCCCGCTGAAATGTGATTCTGTATTGCATACTTGGTGAGGGATGCATCCAGTTTATTCAAATTGTATGAAACACAAATCTTGAGGCCACCCAATCTATTTCCTTCTTGGCATGATTTATCTTTTTATGTGGTTTTGACCTGCCGTACCTTACATTGAAGTATTACGAGGGAGATGGTAAACCTTCATGCAAATATGTTAATTGTGCATGTTGCAATGGAAAGATTATGTGGTGCAACAGAAGTTTAGGATTTGGGACAAGTAACATCACTGCAAGATAATAATTAACTTACTAGTACACAATATGGTAAATAGTATTAAAAGAGGTGTGCGCTGCATATTATAGGGAAATTGTAACGGAAGAAATAAATTATACATAGCTGAATAGTATGGAGATGTGCGCATAGTGGGGATATAGCTGAGAGTGGGGATAGGGTAATCACTCCTGTAGTCCTGCTCCCATCCCCATTTATAGTGGAAGGTATGGGACGCACTTCAAATTTGTAAATTTGAGTCTTGTATAGGCTTAAAGTCTTTCTCTATCTCTATTCTCACCGTTTTGTTCCTCTGCTTTATGTCTATTGTGGTTCTGCATCAAAAGGTTTGCTATGTGGGTACTAGCTAGGCTTCTTTTGACAACCAGAGTTGCTGAGTAGCCCTCTAGTATTTGTGTTCTCTTCCATTAAGCTATATGAAAGCCAAAACAGTTACTCTGGCACTCATGATTGCTAATGAACATAATTTGCTTTCAGGTTCGAGCACATGAATGGCTTTTTGCTTCAGAAGAAGGACAGTGGCATGTTGTTGAAAGTGCAAAGGCTGCTCGTCTAATTATGGTACAACTGTGATGGATGCAAGCCTAGTGTGATTATAATTTGATATTTGGGATCACTTTACAGCATTTTCATTGCTTATATTTGTGCCATGAACTTACCTTTACCTTAGGTATTCTTGGATAGCAGACATGCAAATGCTGACATGGATGTTATCAAGGTGATTGTTTGCAAATTAGGATGTTGTGCAAATTCCACAGGCTAATACACACTATCCTAATGTTATTGTTTTGCTTCTTTTTTTTTCAGAATGATTTATCTCCCCTTGTTAAGGATCTGGAACCTGGAAATCCTGAAGAGGAAGCTCGTATACCGTAGGTGTCAATGCATTCTATTTGAAATTTTGTCAGCATTTTTTTCCTAGAATTCGTGTTTCCATGTTAAGGAAATAAAAATGTCAATTTCTTTGGAAGTACAACTGTAGGAAAAGGATCCTAATGAAAATGTCAAATTATTAAGACAAACTTTACAGTTTGGTAGTTAGTAAAAGAGGGGTTTATCAGTGCCCACGATTATAGTAAGGCTTTGCAATTGGTCCAGCATGAAAACTCAATCTAGTTCTAATAGAAATTCGCTGATGCCAAATTAGTCTGGTGCACCTATCCTGTATGTAGTCCTATTTGAGACAGCATGATCATCACCATTATTATATCTCCTGGTGCTGTTTGTTTATTTCAATGCACATTCCCTGGTTATTATATATATTACATCCCCTTATTTGTTATGATATGTTTACCCTAGATCCATAGGTTAATTTGATGTAATAGCGTCACAAAATAGTATCATATTATTGCTTTTTTAGGACTGTAACCAAATCCATCTTTGTTTTGGGCATGGGTGTATCTTTTCCTATATTACACATTTACACGTGTTATCTAGGCTGGGCAACGAGTTGTTAATGGCCTTGGTTCCAAATTGGAACGAGTTGATTTCATATATAAGTATAAAACAATATAGTTATTGCGTACTTGGACTTAGTAATAGTGGCAGAGGTACGTGGTGGAATGCTATCAGCTATAAGCTTGTTAGGTTGATTTACTAATCAATTACAGTAACACGACAGAACACGGAATTGATTATTGTAGGTACATCATGGAATACTATTGCCTTGTACATAAGTAAATATAATTTTACAGGACAAGTGTTAATCATACCTCAGTAATGCAAATAATGTTACCTTGTGCTGAGAAATGACCTGAAATGCATGCCAACTATATATGGTCAGATCGGGAAGGAGCTAACCAGTTGTTGCGTTTGTAATAGTACACACAAGCAAAATCATATGTCAGTGGTGCACTACATCCCACTTGGAATCCTTTTTTTTTTTTGGGGGGGGGGGGTCATTATGAGCTTCTTGAATTTTCTCAATCAACTTTCCTACCATAAAATGCAAAACCAAAAAATGTTTCTTAATCGTGGTTGTGGTGTAAAAACAACTATGCAGGTTCATGATGGCTGGTGATGGTGTGAAGCAACGAGAGATTCTGCAAGAGGTAATTATTAAAATATATTTTCCGTGGAATGCCTGTTCTAGTGGCAATTTTGTTTGCCCTTGCCCTAAGGACTAATGTTATCCAGATTGACCATCATCTATATAATATTGGAGTCTTTTGCAGACTTGGTGCCATTCTTTTGCATAAGCATAATTACGGGCTTACTGTCAAATTATAGTGGTTGAAACCTCTTCAAGTCATTTAGCGCGTATTTCGTCCATGGTCTATCATGAACGATAGATGCAATGGAACTGTGTCCACTTGATAAATTTTTCCAAGTATAGGAGTCCCTCTGATACCTCACTTCAGCAAAACCGTTGCTGGGCAGAAGAACAGTGAAGTTGATGTTTGGACATCATTAGTTGATGGACTAAGTTTAGGTTTTTGTTTAAAGATGATAATTAGGTAGCCTAGTCTTCCATAATCTGGCTCCTACGAAGGACCTATCTTATGCTCTTAATCTACTGATTTTCATCTATCATTATTTACCAGTATGTTATCTCTATCAGTTTTGAATGATCCCAAGAATGAGAAACTATATATTATTCATTTGGGTATCCTAATGGGTGGTTTCTGTTCATAGAAAGACAAGGTTTAGACTGAAAATAACACAATTTTTTTTTTCAAAGGAAAGAAGGATTGAAAATAATTTCTATACATCAACTTTGTACTGGATGCATACTAAGTTCTAAGAGTCAGTCCATTCTATGCCATCAACAAAGCGCTGGTTATGCCATTGGCAAAACTCAGTTCTACAATATACCATCGAACAACTCATTTTCTTCCTTATATGTCATCGCCGTTAGTCAAACGCTGTTAAGAGAGGAAAAGTGAACATTTTACCCCTAGGATAAATTTGAGATTTTGCACAATGCCATGTCGCATTAAATAATCTTGGATGATAAAAAGAAAAGCGGTTTCTATTTTTCATCAATGAGAAGAAATAGTGGATCATGACCAATGAAATCCATGAGGACGCATGATACCCTAGAGGCAAAATGAACATTTTCTTGCCCTTAATGGAATTTGACTAACTATTAACTAGCAACGATAGAATGTAAGGGAGAAACTAGTTGTTTGATGGTATATTATAGAACCGAGCTTTGTCAGTGCTATATTGTAGAACCTCGAACCACCTGATTCACTTGCTAGTTGCAATTGCATTTTCTTATCACTGTTGACTTGTATGCATGCCCTACCTTCTCTAATGGACTGCTTGCGTTGAATTTTGAAGGTAACTTCAGAAATAACTGGTCCTATGGTTGTGGAAGATGTTGTTTATGAAAATAATGATGAAGACCAAAGTTCTATGACTGAAAAGATGTTCCGGCGCCTTATATTTAAAAGAAATTCTGGCTTAGTGCAATCTGAAGCATTGCTTGTCAAAGATTCCACCAGTGACAAGGCAGATGAAAACAACAAAAAATCACCTTCAGCATCCAAAAAAAGGAGGAACCAGAAAAAAGGTCCCTCAGGTATGTCATGCAAATTTAAAGTTTCAACTTACTGGTATGCTAGATTGATTGCTATACTTGTGGTAGGAATAATCCATGCTAGGGTGTCACACCCAGAAATTCACGAACCATAATTCCAAGCTGAATGTGCATTAAACCATAGTGGAAAAAACCGGACCGGTAGACGACCCGGTCACCCTGCTGGTTCACCGGTCTGACGGTCCAACCGTGAACCGGCCGGTCGAACCACGGTTCACTAACTATATGTAACATATGTGTTTGCATACAAGCACATAGATCTGTATGGTAGGATGGCTATGGGAGTTGGCTTGCAAACAACCGACCAGGGGTCGACTCCCCACAAGCGCGCGCTTCCTTCAATTTTTGCTAAAAAAATCAAGCCCGCAGACAAGTCTGGCCCAAAACATGCTACTGGGCCGTTGTTGTGGCCCATTCATTCACCGGACTTGTGTTAGTCCGGTCCGACTGAAAGCGGTTTATTGCCCGGTTCATCACAAAACCGGCCGGTTCAGGCAGTCTGAAGCGGTTCAATTGCATGTCCGGTCTTTCTATTCGACCGAACCGTGCCAACCTCTGGTTCCGGTTTTTTTCGGTTGAACCGCCGGTCCGGTCCGGTTTTTTACACTAGGCATTAAACCCCTGTCCAGGACAGGCTAGGGTACACAAACGACAATGTTGATATACATAATCCACGTCTTACAAACAGTTGAAGTCTTACAAATTCAGCGCAAAAATAAAGGCGGGCTAAACTAGGATAACTGAATTCAAATTGTCTGATCTGAATTAAAACAACTGAAAGGGAAAGCAGTTCAACTCCTAATTAAAGGCAGCCATACCACAAGCAACTCGAAATGGTGCGTGATTAACCCACAAGCAAAGCAAACCTAAGCATGGAAACTAACAACCAAGCAAACTAAGGAAAACGATAAAACTAAGGGTTATGACTCTAGTGCTCGGAGTGACGCACCAGAGTCCGACTCCAACGACCACAAGAGCCGTTCCGAGCACTAGTGTCGTTACCCTTAGCTTTGCTTGTAACTGACCAAGAATGAGTATCTGTGATCAGGGATATTTTTGTTAATCTGTAGTTTGAAATACTGGTTGAAGGTGCCAACCTGATTCTTAATATTTCACTGCTTACTGAAGTTAATGATCTTTTATTGACAATAAGTTCGTAAAAAAGTAGGCATGATATAATGTTTGATCTTCCTCTATTTATGAGCCATTTGTTGGTCTTTCATAATATGTAGGATCCAAGACCGTTCTGAGGATTGATCATAGCTACCTTGGTAGCTCTTATCACAGCAGTATCATATCTGGCTTTTCTTTAATTGCATCTGCTCTGGATTCTGCTGCAGTAGCTGGAACAAAAGTAAGTAGCATGATCTCGTTCTACATGAGCAATTCAACTTTCAAGTCTATGGACCTAGAGTGTTAAAGATTGTTCTTTTATGAGAAATGAAATTTCTAATTTTAATGCCTGGATGCTTGCAGTGGCCTTTGTTATTTTGTTCTTAGCTTACAGCATAAACCATTTCTAATATTCAAACCCTATAATGCATTTTGTAGGTTAGCACAACCGTCATAGGGCTTGGAGCAGGGACTTTACCAATGTTTCTTCGTGGATGTCTCCCTTTCCTAGATATTAAGGTAAAAGAAAGAAAAATGTCTTATCTTAGTTGATTGGTTGAATGGGGTGATCAGCTTCTCTAACCTTACAGGTTGTGGAGTTAGATCCCTTGGTAGAGGAGGTGGCAAACAAATATTTTGGCTTTTCAACAGATGAGCAATTGCAGGTGAGTTATTGTACTATCAAAGGATTAAAAATGCATATTATTGTAGAACCTAAGTTGTTTCAAAAGATAGGAAAGAACTCTCCAAGTGTCAAGCTATACATAAGACTTCTTGGAGGTTTTATTAGTTACTTAAAGATTCTTTTTCGTTTGGGAAATATACTGTAGCTAACATCCATACAAGTATAGCATGCTTGCAATAGTGTCCCAATTTATTTTGATCGTCCCTTTCCCTATGTTAGGTGCATTTGGGAGATGGAATCAAATTCATAGATGATATTGCTGTTGCAAACAGTAGGGCTACCACCCAGCAGCTCATGTCTACTGGCAATGAGAACAATGCAGTTAAAATTCTTATTGTTGATGTTGATTCATCTGACGTGAGGTATTTGCTCTCAACATTTCGATGACTGCCCTCTACCCTTATATGTTTGTTCTACTACAAAACAATTTCATATCGACCCATTCTGATTTCGAGTTCATGGCTGCTTCACAGCTCTGGGTTGTCTTGCCCTCATGCAAACTTTGTTGAGGATTCTTTTCTTCTGGCGGTGAAAAAGTTCCTTGATGAAGGTGGTCTGTTTATCATCAATTTAGTCTCGCGATCATCCGCAGTCAGGGAAATGGTTGTTTCACGACTGAAAGCAGTAAGATGGGAGTCCAGACACACATTTTTTTTTTTTTACATAATAGGATACAACAGATTTCTGAGTACAGTTATTTAGCTAAAATAACAACTTTCTTTGTAGGCCTTTGAGCACCTATATTCACTACATCTCGAAGAAGATTTAAATGAAGTTTTATTTGCAACCCCAAGTGAAAGATGCCTGGATAACAACAATATGGATGAGGCTGTGGCCAAACTGAAGGCCATGCTGAAATTCCCAGTGAATGTAGAATCAGATATGAAGAAGTTGCAGAAGCTGCAGTAGTCGGCTCAGCTGCAGCGAAATGCCATTCATTTTGTCCTCAGCGAACTCAGGAAAATGCTGGTGTAACTTCCTTCAACTATAGGACCAAATTACCTGTACCAAAGGCATAGGTACACCTTCCTTCGTGTTGTATTGCCAAATTTTGTTCTTGTCAAACCGTGCCGCGATCTGTATAGAGCTACAATAGGCGAGAAGATGTCTGTCAGTTTTGGTCTCCATTGCTGAGAGCCTTTCTAAATCATTGACAGTGTACGTTATAGAAGTGACTCCCAAAAGTTGGCCAGTGCATAGAATTGCATTGCAGCTTCTGAGCCGTCAGTAGGTTGGCAGACCTGACCGTAACATGTTTACTACACAATTGCTACTGCTGGATACGCATGTGATTTTCATTGTTTACAATGGTCTTGGTAGTAGCTGGAGATTGTGAACAGTTGACTAGTTGAGTATGAGTTCATCTTGCTTGGCTAAAATTGAGCATGAGGGCTGACTTTCAGTCACTTGGTTTTGGTTTTGAGGCAACATTTCCTTTGGTTTAAGAGCTTTGGTCATGTCACTTGCCATTTGCATAGGAAATGAAGATCAGGCATGCAGCATATGCATACGAATATGTGATGGACCGGAACAATGTATTCCGGTTGGGGGTCACCAACAGTCCAACGATAGTGCAGGGCTAACTCATCACGTGTGACCTTCTCTACAACTTGAAATAATGTTGCACAGGTTGCACAGCAGGCTACCACTAGATCTTGTCCACACCCCAGACGTTCCAGATAGGCAACAAGTGCCATCTTTCTCCATTTCAAAATATAACTATCTTTAGTATTTAAATTTTATTCTAAAATATAATTACTTCACCTACTCTCTCTCTTAGTCTCAGTATTAACCAATAAAAACCATCTCTTTGTTCAATTTATGAATCGACTTTCTCATCTTAATCAATTACAACTATCTCAGTTATTTTTATGATTTTCCTTAATACCCATACTTGTGCCTAGCTCTATAAGTCTTTGGGACGGAGGGAGTACTTTGTTTTTTTATCTGATTTTACATTTGTATACATTTAGGTATACCTCCTGCATTTACATTCCACCTTGTTGATTATGTCGACTACCTTTTGTTTTGTTTTTCAGATCAAGAAGAAAACTCTCGTGTGCCTTCGGTATATAATCCATATAAAAATTCCTCTCAATAATCTAAACCAAGCGAGGGTGATTATGAATTTCTGTAATAACCATTTACAAAAAGAAAGTATCATATGAATTGTGCAAAAAATTGGGCGGTATTACAGAGGATTTTGTTAATTAATTATTTCCAAACACTCTAGCCTAAATCCATGAAATGCCATTGACATACACTCTAATCTAAGAAATACCATCGACGAACACAACTTCCAGGAAATGCCATTGTACGAGTCATTTTGTCCTAGAAATGTTATTGCCATCACTACTCTGTCACTTGTATTCCGTTAGATACTGTGTAAAGACTATTTTAATGTATATGCAAACTAACAATTTTGAATTTTCATAGGAAAGCTATACACGAGAAAAATCTCAAAAATTCGCCAAATGAAGTTCTTGATAACATCTACTTCCAGTAATTCTAGCCTAAGTTCTTGAGTATTGTAGCATTCTCAAAAAATTCCCAAAATCATCCGCCTTTTGTCATACATAGAGAAGAAAGCTCCCAGTGGGGCCTTCATATTGGCTGACCAGAGGAGGAAGAGCTCGTGGTAGGAGGCCGAGGGAGGAGCTCGGCGGCGGCGGAAGGAGCTCGGGGGCTAGATCGACGGAGGAGCTCTGGGTAAGGACGCACACTGGGGTGCCGTTGGCCCGAGGAGGATAGGAACCATCGCCGCGACGGCCAGATCCACTTGCGCACGCCGCTGGCGTCGATCCTCCTTGACAGCCGCCGAGGCCGCCTCAACCACCACAGCCTCGCTTTGCCATTTGAGGTCGCCATCGGGGAGAGAGAGAGAGAGAGAGAGAGAGAGAGAGAGAGAGAGAGAGAGGGGGGCTAGCAAGGTGGTGGAAGGGGAGAAGCCGCTGGGGGAGGGGGCTCGAGGACGGCGGCGGGAGCTTGAGGGTGAGGGCGACTGGGGTGCTCCAGGTGAGGACGTGCGCGGGGGTGCGGCGACGGCGTCGATCCCCTTGACAGTTGCCAACGACGTGAGAAGAGGTGGAAGAGGAGTGGCCGGCAATGGAAGAGAAGGGGACTTGTCCTAGGTTGAGAAGGGTAATTTGGTCATTTTGGCAAAATTAACGGCATCTAAAGGTGTAAAAGTGACTGTGATGACATTTCTGGGACAAAATGGCTCGTACGATGGCATTTCCTGGAAGTTACGTTCGTCGATGGCATTTCTTGGATTAGGGTGCTTGTCAATGATATTTCATGGATTTTCTCTTTCGCTTATGCATATACTTCTCAGACAAAAATTGAATTTTCAACCTTAAATTTGGAGTTGATTTTGGTTTTTTTCATCGTGGTTTATTTTTCGACATTTGCTTTTATATCATCAAGAACATGTATATAAAAGACAAATTATTTTTTATTTACAAATATGCCGTTTGGATTATTCGAATAAGCCAAACGATGGGGCTGCTACAGCCTAGATGCCTAGATGCCTCTTTGGACAAAAAACAGGGGAGGGGGGGGGGCTGACCCTTCACGTCAACATCCCCAAAATCCATGAAACCTGCAAGAACATTATCTTCTTTGCATTTGGTAGGGCCATATATCTTTAGGTAACATTTGCTTAGTTAATTGCATATGTGTGCACCGTGCATGCATTATCATAATCAAGTGTTGAGCTTTTCTAAGGTATAGAAGAAGTCAAGAGCTTACTTTCCCACCTAATCTTTTCAATCACCTTGGTTATCTCCGAATGTGCTGGGAGTTAATTTGAGGCTTCTGCTTTACAAAATACAAAAATTCATGGATGAACATGATCGTGGTGACAAACAACATACACATCATATTTGATTTTGAATTTATTATGAAAGAAGTGAAAGAACTATTCTCTGTATCTCAAATATAATGGTAAATGATAGTGTGAATACATACATGGAGAAGAAATCCCAATAGTAAAGTATCTTTTGGCCTTTCACTTCATGATATAATAATCAATCAATAACTCCCCTAACCGTACTGTTTTTCTCCGATTTTTCAATTTTTTTGGGCTATCTCGTTGCTTTACACGTCGCTCCTCCTCCTCCCAGCTCCTCGCGCGCGCCTGCGTGACCGCTCGTAAGCGGTCACCAGTTCAACGATTTTTTTTCGGCGCTGTGGGGGCGTGCGCACACACTCGACGGCGGTTGGAACAGGTTGCATTAGTAGGCTATTTTGCAAAAAAGTCCTTGCGTTTCCACGAATTATCGTATACGTCCTTGGACAGGTGCACAGCCCGTTATGTTTGTTGCAAAAAAACCCCTCCTATTTCACAAATACACAATGTGAAGAAGAGAAAATTTCGTTTTAAGGGTAGCGCTGTCAACATAAAAAACGAAGGGGTTTTTCAGAAAAACAACCACATATACCCCAAACCCTAACCACGGGCTGTTCCCCACTCCCCCACCGCGCGGCCGCAGCCCCACCCGCGCCCCGCTCCCCGTGCTCGGCGCCGGACTCCCACCGCCTCCGTCCTCCCTCCCCTAGTCGCCTCCGTTGTCGTCCGCCCTCCACCCGCCACCGCCGTCGTCGTCCATCCTCCCCCCGCTCTCCGTTGCCTCTCCTTGCAGGCCGTGCGACGGCGCGGCTCGTGGCCTCGTCTCCGGTGCCGCCGTAGTCAGATCCGGCCCTCTAGCAGTTGGATCCAGCTCCGCCGCCGCCAGATCTGGCGGCCGGAGGTGACGGCGCGACGGAGGAGGATGACCGAGATAGGTTCGGACGATGAAGCGGCGGAGGCCGACGGGTGCGGCATCATCGTCCGCCTTCCCCGCGACACCGCCCTCCCCCTTGTTCTCCCCCCGCCCCACCCGCCGGCAACGGGGCTTGTGGCGGCGGCGCATCCAGCCGCGCACGGGCCACTGCCTCCCAACTTTGGAAAGGAGAGAATCTTTTGAGAGAAAAACTAGGATCAAAGAAGGCATTTTGGGCCACTGCCTCCCAGCTTTGGCCAAAAGTTGCACTCATTGCTCACACACACAGCAGCAAGCAGCTAGACACAAAGAATGGCACAAATTATCTGCACCCCAAGATCATCAGCTACACTTGTGTTGTGCTTACCTTGGAGCTAGCGAGCTGCTCCGTCCGATGCCGTCCAGGAGGGTCCTGATGCGCGACACGTCTCGCTCCCTGAGTCCACTCATGCGATCCATATCTAGGCAGAGTGGAGGTTTCATTCCGATGCTTGACCTTCCTGCACCTTGGCAATGCACCATTGGTCATTGCTGCTGCAAATTTGGTCATTGACACCGGCTGGCCAGTCCATGATTCATGAACTTGGTTCACCATCACCACTGCAAGTGTTGCCAATGAGCATGTGAATCATATATACTCACTCCGTTTCAAAATGTTTGACACCGTTGACTTTTTAGCACATGTTTGACCGTTCGTCTTATTCAAAAACTTTTATGAAATATGTAAAATTATATGCCTACATGAAAATATATTTAACAATGAATCAAATGATAGGAAAAGAATTAATAATTACTTAATTTTTTTGAATAAGACGAACAGTCAAACATGTGCTAAAAAGTCAACGGCGTCAAACATTTCGAAACGGAGGGAGTACTATAGTAGCTAGAGGTTTTCATGATTCATGACCACACATACCTCATCCAGCAATAGCAGGGAGTGTGTGATATTGGTTCAGGGTTAGTATTATGAAGCCACATGCCAAGAGCATCTCGAGGTGAAGGACAGGTGCTTTGGCACCTTTTGGAGCAGGTTTGGTAAATGATCATGAGCACAAGAAGCTTGCACAACAGTTGTTCAAAACAGTTGAAGATGAGTTGAGGCATAGGCTATAGCAGGTGAGGTAATTTTTCTTCTTATCTGAGTAAATACACTCATTGTCTAGAAAAAAACCAAGTCAATACACAAATTTCAGGGTGGCTTTAGCTGGCATTTGTAGAATTGATACATACAAACATCTTTCTGAAGTAGCTGCAAGCCATCAGCAGCTTTTATCTTCTTCCTTCGCAGCATCTGCCGTTTGCCATTTCATGTCAGGTGTAACTGCCATTATCAAGAAGATTCCACTTAATAGATAGATGGTATATTTTACCACAATCAGTTACTAGTACATTAGTGTATATATGCATACAGGTACCTCTATGAACTTTTTGAGCTTTCCTGGGATGCTTTGAAGATGCGAAATGCAGCTATGCACATTGTAATGTTACCAATCACTGTTAGAGCACCTTGGAGCGCTACAAGCACCTGCAGATAGTTTTCAAACAAAAAAAAAAGAACCATGAAGAGAAATAACGTGAGCAGAAGAATTATGAAAAACACTAGTTGAATTATATTATTGTATGTTTTTACAATAAGAGAGTATCTTGATAATACTACAAAAAAATCGCAAGCATACGACTTGCACAAAAGAAGTGGAGAACGGTTCCACTGTCTAATCATCTGTGTTTCATGTGCATTTATTTAAAGGCAAATAGGCACTAGACCAATTGAAATGTTAGGATATTTGACAAGTGTGAACAGTTACAAACCACGGGGAAGCAAATGATGATAATTTTGATGAACGGAAAAAAAGGAAGCACTAGTGTTCCAACTCAAGGGATATATCTTACTTCAAGAGACTCCGAATTATAGAAGAAATGCCACGTGCAAGCGCACATCGCTCCACCAAGAAGTGGAACCTATTATACAAAGAAAAGAAAATGCAAATCTGGATAGTCAACAATCATAAAGCAAGCTGTTAAAAATTCAATCGAAAACTTGTGAACAACTGCAACTACCATCAGCAAAGACTTTACTACCTCCGTCCCAATACAAGTGCAGTTGTGGGTTTCGTTTGACCGTCCATCTTATTTGAAAAAAATATATGATTAGTATTTTTATTGTTATTAGATGATAAAACATGAATAGAAGTCGTACTATATATCGGGACGGAGGTCGTACTATATAGGAGCAGTATAGATAATAGAAGTCACACATAAGTAAAGAGGGGTACTTGCAGATTAGATTCACTGAAAACAACACAAGATTTCTTCTGATGAAAACATACTCATAAATATGAGACATTCTCCTCCCAATCTCTGAATCTTACTACTACTCCCTCCGTTTCATAATGTAAGACTTTCTAGCATTGCCCATATTCATATGGATGTTAATTAATCTAGGCATATATGTGTGTTTAAATTCATTAACATTTATATGAATGTGGGCAATGCTAAAAAATCTTACATTATGAAACGGAGGAAGTAATACATAGGAGTACATGAAGCTACTATGTTGTACTCCCTCCGTCCCCTAATATAAGGGATTTTGATATTTTACTTATACTGTTTGACCATTCGTCTTATTCAAAAAAATTTGGAATTATTATTTATTTTATTTGTGACTTACTTTATTATCCAAAGTACCTTAAGCGCAACTTTTCGTTTTTTATATTTGCACAAATTTTTTGAATAAGACGAGTGGTCAAACAGTGCAAGCAAAATATCAAAATCCCTTTTATTGGGGGGACGGAGGGAGTACGGAAATTAACATTATCCAACACAAATTTCATCAGCAAATAAATCATCATTTTATCCAAATTTACACTCACCATTCCCCAAGAGAGGCCTTTCCAACCCTTGAGCCCCGTCCTCTCACCGTAGTCCCAAACCAGCGCCATAGCCGTCACCCTGCAATCCGGACAGAACAGGCGATAATCCCCTCATCTTTTGCAGCCGTGGAAGCAAGAGCTAGGCAGGTAGGTATTGTAGATCGTACCACTCGGCGACGCTGGAGACGTGGACGGCCCAAGTGGGCAGCGAGAGCGCGTTGGCCGGCTCGGCGGCCAGCGCGGCGATCGCTGGCGGCGAGGCAGCGGCTACGGCTGCCACAGTGACAAAGGCTATGCCGTTGCTCGCCAGGCGCGCCGCGGACGGCGGCGCTCGTCGGGGCCGCGGTGGCGGTGGCGGTGGCGGAGCGGGCGCGAATGCGGCGATGAGCCGGAGAGAGACCATTAGTGGTGGGATGGGGAGCTTGGCGTTCACACAAGACACAACACAAAGAAGTGAGACTTGATGATTTTATACGGACTTGAGGATTTTGTACGGAGCAGCTGTACACAGTACACGTGTACATCTGTATCCATACCGTAGGTGTACTTAATTTTTTTAAAAAAGATAAATTTAATTACCCCTTCAATTTCTAAATCACTTGAGGTTGCGTTGAAACGGACAAATAGAAAAGAATTCTCGTTTTCCGTGTGTACGTTTATCAGCTGCGTTTTTTTGGAAAAAAATCGAAAATTGTTTTAATATAAATCATATTAATCTATTTTTAATTTTTTTTGAAAATCGTACTTAAACTTTATAAAAATATTGAATTCACATTGTTTCTAACATTCTATTGTTATTAGATTGTACTTGGCATATATCATTTTGTTTTTTATTCTAAACTATAACTGATTTGAATTTATTAATTACCTAATTTAAATATATATATTATTAGTCTAAATTATTTTTAATATTAAAATATTAAAATATTATAGATATATCACAATGTTTTAGAGACGGGAAGATAAAGTAAGTTCGATGGTTTCAATTTATAACCTGATAAAAAAAGAATGCTAAATTAGATTCATGCCAAGTGGCACAATATATATTTTAGAAAATTTATAACCTAATAAAGAAAAAAAATGTTAAATTAGATTAATACCAAGTGTTATCTTTTAGAAAATATTGTGGAATGAAAACTTCTTATAAGAATATACCTTAATAAAAAAGATATTTTGTGTGTTATGAGTAGCTTGTGGTATGGATTCTTCTGAAGAAATTTATGTGAGTTTGGATGAGTACAAATTATTTTCTGTACAACTATTCTAAGAGTGTTTGGATGAGATTCAATAACCAAATTACATCTGCTAAAAACAAAAAATCAAAATTAACAAGTTGAAAGTAGGTGGAGCTGGGCAGAGGCAGATCTAACCCAGTTTCGGTTGAACCCCCAAACTAAACTTTTCTGAGGGATAACGCAGAATAGCTGATGATGAGGTGTGGCCGTGTGGGTAGGGAGGGATGCTCACCGGCGAGCGACGATGCGGTGGGAAGCAGGAGGACGCCGGGCGCAGGATGGGGATCGGCGCAAGCAAGCGGCGGGGCGATCGAGGAGACGAAACTGGAGGCCGGATGGGATGGATTCACCCTCACCGGTGTCGGTGAGCGAATGCGGCGGGAGCAGGAGAACGCCGCCGCTACCTCTGCTCTGCTAGCAGCGCGAGGAGACGGGACGGATAAGGAAGGGAGGCGGAGGTCGGATTTTTGCGGAAAAAGCCCTCCAATTTTTCGTAATCAGGTATGTGCCCCTCACGTCCTGTGTGTGTTTGAAGAGGAAAAATCGTGGAAAGGGGCTTTTTTGTAATATGTGGAAGACGAGGGGCTTTTTCGCAAAACAACATCCACTACCGCTAGCCGCTCGTTCTCCCTCTCCCGCGCCGTCGTCTCCGCTTTCCCCTCGCGCCGAGCGCCGCCGCAGCCGCAGCCGCCGCCGCCTCCCCATCGCGCAGCCACGTCTGCCTGGCACCGTCCCCATCGCCGGCCGCCTCCGCCTCCGACTCCCCCTCGCGCCGCCTCCACCTCCTCCGCCATCGCCGTCGCCGTCGCCGTCGCCTCGCTGCGTCTCCGGGCGCCTCCGCCTCCGTCTCCCTCCTCGCGTCATCGCCGTCGCCGTCGCCTCCCCATCGCGCAGCCACCTCCTCCTAGCGCCGTCCCCATCGCCGGCCACCTCCTCCTCCGCCGCCGCCGTCGCCTCGCCGTCTCCGTCTCCCCCCTCGCGTCGTCGCCGTCGCCGTCGCCAAGCGAAGCAGTCTCTGCCACCGCCACCGCCACCGCCGTGCCCGTCGCCGCGCGTCTCCGCTGTGTCCTTCGTCGCCATCGCCAACGGCCGCAACTCTGCCCTCCGTTGCCGTCGAAGAAACGGCGATGGTCACAGAGCCGACGACGGTGGCTGCGCGATGGGGAGGCGGAGGCGGTACAGATACAATGGAACTTTTGGCTGCTTGCTGCTCGTCACTTCTCCCTCAGGTCGTCGTCTTCGTTTATCCCCATGTATTTTGTCTTGTCCATCGCCTCTGCAGGGAAGAAGAACATGAGGTGCTAATCACTGCTGTTCTAGGTGCTAATCCGTCAAGGAGCTCAGATCTGTGGATCCTAGACTAGAGGGTTAGGGTTGGTCAGGTGGTATAGTATCCCATTACAACATGCTCTTTCATATGCTTGTTGATTCATCGATGATCTCAACTCCCAAGTGGGGAATTTTTGTCTACAAATTAATTTTGATTTGGATGCGCTTTTCCGTTTGTTATTCTGCGTGCAAAACTTGTTATGATGAAAACTACTATCTTTAGGCAATAATAACGGAGGTCTCTCCTTGGGAAAGAGAGCTGCGTGAGCAGTTTGCCGCTTGCTTACACTAAGCAAAAGATCCACTGAGCATTGAAAATTTTGTTTACATGCTGCCAGGCTGCTGGAATCGTGGAAGCTGTGCGGAGGATCTACTCAGATGTTGATCGAAATGGTGCTGGATTTGGGAGCTGTTGTTCTCAATTGCCGTGAGTCAGACCATGAGTTTGTTGTCACAATCAACATCTTCCTAGCGTTGGTATGCACTTGCCGATTGGGCATCTGCTAGAAAGAAACCAGCGTGTAAACTCTGTGGCGTTGCACTCCAGGTGTTTGTGGTTTTGCTTATGTAGTGGTTTGAATTTTGCTTTGTGGTATGGTGCTTGCAGGGGCTGATCACTGGAGGTGTGATTCTGCTTGTCAGTTGAGGGAAGAATTCACACACTTGTGTTCACTGAGGACATCTTCTCAACCTATTGCTTCCACCGATCATCTTTAATGCTAGGTGAGCTTTCTGTGTACCTGTATTTCATGTGGTTAACTCTCAACCAAAGTGGAGTTCATTTTTTGTTTTTCTATACTGTAATAAAAAGTGACTTGTCTTATTTTAATTTGGTTTTGGGTAATTTAATCTTGAGAACAAAATGCGTTGCAATTGGACTCACTTGAGATATTCATGTAGTTCAGAAGTATACAAATGATTGTATTATTTTCGCCGTTCTATATAAAATGTTTTCTATATCTCTGAATTTATCAAACCCATGTGATTTGTGAATATGAAGGTACACTTATTGAATTGGATGTATGAAATAGGTAACTGCCCATTTATTCCTCTGAAATTATACTTAGAGAAAACGCATGCGCATGGACACTGTAGTGCAGACTCGCACTAATTCTCTCCATGAATCATGATACTAACTATAGGTCATAAGTATTATTCTGAGACATGGTCTTGCATACTTTTGTTCTCTGACTATGGGACATGTCCTTGATGCCTATTCACGATCATTTTCAGGAAATCTAAAATAAAGCTCTCTGTTTCAAAATACATGTAAAGAACAATTATTTTTAGAGGTCAAAGTCTCCTGCTGCACGCATATCAGGATTGGACAAGCAACGTTGAAAAAGTTAAATGACTTATGCTGCTAATATTGCTTATTCAATTGTAGGCTATATAGTTAATTATTACTTGCTACTCCCTCCATTCCATAATATAAGGTACAACTACTTTCTAAAGTTGTTTCATGATATAAGGCGTGCATGCATGTATGTCATTAGCTAGCACATTTTTTCTACTAAAATATTATTATTTAAATCCTCTACAATCAAGATCTCTAATTTTATTGGGTGCATGTATTCTATTTATTAGGGTAATCCAATCTATAAGGTGATAATAATTATTTATTGGTCTTTGTGTTAAGGGTGGTTGTGCCTTATATTTTGGAATGGAGGGAGTATTGTTTTCGAGTGGTGCTCTTTTCATACTTGTTCCATTCCTTTTGCCAGATAATCAAGAACCATGATGCCAATAGTCCACTACTATGCTTTACTGCTTTCAGATTAATGAAGATATCAGTTGCAGAGAGGGCTATTGTGGTTCCTCAGCCATGGCAATGTGAGTATATATATGTATACAGCTCTCATATGAACAGCATTTTCTATCTCCGTTTGTGCATATGTTGGATTGGTGAATGAAGATACCATGTTCGGCCAGACCTGTGTTGGTCTCAGAGCAGTGGTTTCTCTGAGATGGTAAAGGGATTCCAATTGTTTTTTAGACACCAAAATGATTGCATTAAGTTGTCATCTTTTGTAGATATTAGTTATGCATTTTTTTTTTAGCTTCTCGGATTTATCTGACTGTTAAACAAATAAATTGATGTGCACATCTTATGTTCTTCTCATTGAGGTGTTACTTACGCAGACTCTGGTTAAATTTTAACAAGCATGGATGAAGAACCAAATCCTGCAAAGGAGCTTGTTGGCTGAAATGCCAAGTTAGATATGATTATAACTTGAAAGAGTAGCTGTCTTAATTAATCAAGAAACATGTGAGCTATGATTTTCCTCTTTTAGTACAGGTATTTCTTGTCATGGTTTTTGTGAAGAAAAAAAATCTTTTGACAAGTATGCAGGCCAATAAAACCAGGTAATATCATGGAACAGAAGTAGATTGTATTGATAGAGGTGCAAATCGTTTAATTCTTTGTTTTGCAAGAATCTTTACTGTACAGAGTTTCTCTTTCTGCTGTTATCAGCGGTGCGTGGCACATGACATATTTATGGCAACTTAACATCGATGCTGCGCCTTTGCAGATGGTAGAGACCAGTTTCTCTGTGGACTATTTGCAGGCAGAATGGTATCATCATATTTGCACCTCTTTGGACTAATCAGATAACAAAAACTTTATGATATAGTACTTCGTGAAACAGCTAACAATGTTTATTTACATCTGCTCGTGTTTTTTCTTGAAAAGAAAAATGTGTGATACAGATGATGGAGAAGGAGCTGATGAGTGAAATCAAGGTATCACCTTGTTCGTGCTACCACTGTGTTTATTTTTTGTTATGCCATTACTTGCCCTGCAAAAAGATATGCAAGAGTATAATGGAATAGATATTTTTGTATTCGGAAAGATATGTGATTAGGTTTGAGGTTTTTTTATTCCTCATCCTTCCCATGCAGTGATTATGTACAAGTTCAGGGAAATGCTAACCCTAAGATGGGGATTGTTGAATTGAGATCGATGTGATTATATCTGTTAGATAAGCTTTATAATATTCTTTCAATGGCAGGTCATGGATATGGTATGGAACTGCAAGTTTTTTGGAACACCGTTGTTGTTCATGGACATAATGGTCATAGATGACTGCTCAAGTAATTGATCAAGACCTTGGTTTTTGTTCCCCCGCCTGGTTAGGATTCCGCATTGGGTGCTTGCCAGGGAATTTGATTTTGACATGCTTTTCTCAAGGTGCATTTGTTGATCCAAGGAAACACCGTGAGGTATGCGGTGATTGTAGTTCATGTAACTGGGATTGTCTGCCAGTTGATTAGTATTTGAATCGCTATGGTTGATCAAAATATGTAAACATAGATCTTACAGATATGAAAATTTTCCTTGGCTGTAGCATCGGCTGAATAATCGCTGTTATGAAATGTGCATGATTTGTTGACCTGTAATTAGTACTGCAGTTTGCTTATCTGTAACCATCTACTTTCTTCTTTTTTTTCAATAACTTCCTTTTTCTTTGTTCCTTAATATCATGTGTTTTTTCAGCATCAGTACGCCAATGGCGCGCCCCAGACTCTAGTATATCCAAGGCAAGATCATAAAATAGTTTTGTACCATAATATGCATGCCATCGGATTTTTTCTAGATAACGATACATGCCATCAGATATATTGAAATATATATATAATAATATATATGAAATCTTATCAGATTCAGAAGGTAAGCACTATATTGATATATATATAGTCCAATCTCCATACCTACCAAGGATTGATCTTATGATTGTTGTCATTGAAAAAAATAAGTACCAAGATTGATCCTATGATGATTTTGGCATTAAATAATGTAGCTCAAAAGAACAACCTATAAATATTCTCCCATAAGGATTGATTGAAGTTGGAAGACAAGTAGCTTGATGAAATCTCAAATTTGTTCTAGTGGCATGTTCAGATGACATGTCAAACATCAGTCATTTCATTAAATCTCAAATTTTGTTCAAGTCATTTGTTCAGATGACTTTGTTTATTCTTTCTTGAATCTCTCAGCACCTAATTACTTGATTAGCAAACAGTTCAGGTTTGGTGTTACCAAAGTTGTAACTGACCAAAGAAACTGGAGGAATTAAAGCCATTTCCATGGACTTCTGGTCAGCATGACTGAACTTTTGAAATTCATGGAACAGGTCAAATTTGAAAGGACAGAATCGTATGGAGCATATGAACATCAGACTTTGGTCTCATGACTCGACGATGGTACAGACTAATAACTAATTAAGCAAGAGTGATCAGAGTACAACCCATGAAAAGCACTTGCAGACCAAGTCGTAATATCCTAAACAACACTTGTGTTTGATCGAATTTATCTAGTCAGAAGCACTGACGGTTGCTCCTTTTTTTAGTTAGTTTGTTTGGCAAAGCTGATGGCTGTCCACATTAATTCATATCCTAACAAAACCTGTAAGTTTTGACTGGTTTTTCAAGTCAGAAATACTGACAGTTCTTATAGTTTGGAAAGCCTGAAGACTGTCCAAACAAATTTCACCACTTTGCAGGGCAATAATAATAAATCTTATACTAGACCCAAGATAAAATTTATCTGGTTGCACAGTTACAAAAATAGATCAGCTATCTAAGGATTAATTAACAAGTGTAGTATTGGGCTCTGTTCTGGTGTCGTCGTCAAGATCTGGACAGCTGACTGGATGAAACATGACAAGGACACAAATTTTCGTTCAAAGATTCAACATTCAAAGCACGGTCAACATTTGGAGGCAATCCAGCTAGCTGATCCATGGTTGTCCGAGTCTAGAAGATGGCAACCCTTGTGAAAAGGAACAGAGCTTAGAATGTGTTTTACTGCCCTTTCATTTTCCTGGTAAACTAGATAATATCAGTTTACTCTATGAGCTCAGCTAGTGAAAGCTGAATGGACTCTTGATACACTACACGGTAGATTTTCCTCTCTAATGCAAAGATACGCATCTCTCTTCTTATCTCCTCCGTATTCCAGGGGAAAAAAAATCATAAGTTAGAATATAGATATTACCTCCATATCTTTTATAATTGTCACCATCGACCAATACTATTGTAACTTTGACCACTAATAATTTTTAAATAGTTAAATTGCGATGGATGAAAGTTTAATTCTATATATAATACACTTCAATAAGATAACATAGACTGTATTATTTTTTTTAAAAAAAGGACAAATGGTCTTAAATATGAATAATACTTGGTGACGAGTATAAAATAACGGAGGAAGTAAATTGGTTGTCTCCGCATGCAATAGTGTAGAAAAAAAAGGGAGAATGGACACATAGTTGAGAGAATCAATGTTTTTTTACTCCTTACTATTGCTTGTTAAGTGTATGTACAGTGGTGGATTTAGGCTATTTCTATGGGGTCGGCTGACCCTACAGCTTTTTAAAAAACACCCTATAAATCTCGATTTTCATGTATAAATCCAAAAAAAATTAGAGAAATGATCCCACTTAAATATAAATCACTAGTAATTGATCTCACAGGTATAAAATCCTGGCTCCGCCACTTATGTATGTCTAAAAGTAGAGTTTTTTCCGGTCCTATACTCATTATATCGCCCTTTGGGCATAAATCAAGAAGCAAGATTCAATACCCACTGATTATTTACCGCTTCCACAATGTTTGTATTTAGTGCTTACTGAGCCTTTTGTAGTATTCTTTTAAGTGCCCGTCATCTTATTAATCTCCTAAAACCTTATACCAAATTTAGATTTGGAAAAATCTTTTAGATTGCCCCAAGATCTCAAGAATCCATTTCTTTGCAGCAGGACTTTTCATGACCACGGAATCTTCCAAAACGGCGCCATGAATACAGACAGACTGATGATACAAAGTAGGTGGATGTTAAATTAAACACACGAACAGTGCAGAAGTACTTGCAAGCGATCAATTATGGCCTCTCTGGGCCAGGTTAGGCAGGCTAGCTCTCCTCATGGTGCTAAGTTCATGTATGCATATATATGGACCCCACTTTGATTGAGTTGACTTTGACCGGGCCATACCAAATCGTACGGAAAACTATACAAAATTAAGCTGAACGGATCCTTATTCCCATGATATGAACTATATTTGGTAGTTGTAGTAGTCGTTCAAATGCGCTACTTTCGAACCTTTGGAAGGAGCTAGTGTTTTGGGCTAAACACTGATAAGCCTCCAAAAAAAAAAAAGAAACAACTTTTATATCTAAGTTCTTAGCAATTTAAAAGTCAATATACTGAAAAATGATCTATTGTTAAAAAATCAAAATCAACATAAAATTTTAGTTTCGAAAATCAAATTTTAACGACGGCTAATAAGCTAACATATGAGAGGCTTTAATTTTATGTCTTGACACATCTCCGGTTTTTTCAAGAGTGGACTTTTATGTGGCATGAACCATTTTTCACTTGTGCTATATATGCTTACTGTGTTTTTTCATGTTGTGAATTATGCTAGATATATAATTTATTTACTTTAATTACTTCCATTATCTGAACAACCTTAACAGTACTACGGGATTTACCATCATACATGCATTTAAGTACCTCTTTGGAAAATGGAAGAGCTGATGTCATTTTCTGATTGCAACTGATCATGAGCCTATGACAAAATTTAATTCCTGTTCATATGCATGCGTGGTTGACTCCTATAAATATCAAAGCCAACTAGTTTTTTTTCCTTTTGTTTTGTTTTAAAATACGGTACAAACGCTCGCAGTCACTCCTAACTTCTTTTCTCTTTTTTTTTCTTTGAAACAGAGCTAAATCAAGTCAGCTAATATATGAATGGGTGAAAAAATAATCATTCAACAGCACATGACGTTGAAAGTCAGAACCCAACGTTTTCATGTTTTTGCCAAGCTGTAGAATTTGTTGATAACAACTTGGTTTCTAGCCACAAAGATACATTTTTTATTAAAGAATTGCTTTCGGATCGAGAAGCTTGGATTATTTCCAAATTTCCAACTTCCAAGCAGCCGGACACATCGTCATGCAATGCTCATCAGGATTATGTCATACTGAAGATTAATGTAATCAGATTGTACAGGGACGAGTAAATTTTATTATTCAGTTGGAAGCATTTTATTTTCTTGTTTGTCACCAACTATTATTAACCATTGTTGTCTCATTGAATAAGATAAAAAAAAAACTATCTCCAACAATACGTGTGTGTGCGCGCATTTTATATTTTGTAGTTCTCATACCATATGACATACTACAGAAATTAAAAATGTAGGAATGAATTGGTCATTTGTATAGAAAAACTTTTAAGAATTGTAGAGAAAACATATCATAAAGTAGAATTAAGAGGACAGAGACAGATAGATGATGTTTTAGACTTCTCAAAGGAATTCAACCCATGAGGTTGGAGCTGATGCTTAACCCCCCATAAACTAAAGGAAAAATAATGATTCCTATAATTTTTTTCAACCAAATCCTACAAATCAAATTAAGGACTACATAGAAAACAATTCTATAGGATTTAAATCCTTTAAAAATCCCTCTTTCCAAAGAGCATTCAATGGAAAATTGGCATCAATTGATGCACTTAACATTTTTCTAGCCACACAAGTAATAAAAAGCTGCATTTCATATAGTATATTGCTTTAAAAAGATTTGTGAACTTATCTAAAACCATCTACGGTCAAAATTCAAGGTTTATGCCGTGCCCATCTCTGGCGTTAATATCTCAGAACCAGAATTTTATCTTGAAAAAAAAATGATAAGCTAAACTAAAATCAAGAGAGAGAGAGAGAGAGATCAGAGAGAGGTGCTTCGAACTGAAAAATAGTGGCGCTCCCACGTCAACGGTTTTGTCTTCTTCTTCCTCCCTTCTCCTTTTCTTCTCCTCACCTCCCCACAGCCTCCTCCTCCCTTCCTCCCCACCTCTGAATTCATCGCTCCTCCTCCTTCGCTTCTGCAATTCAGAAGCTTCGGAATCAGAGGGGGGCAAAGGCGCCGCCTTTGGCTTGGTTTCTTTCTTTCTTGGGGTTGATCTTGGGTGAGTTCTTTCTCGAGGAAATTCGAGCAAAAACGAGGGAGGATTCGAGTGATTGTGTTCTTGGATAGATACATGTTCTTGGGAGAGAGGCTTGTTTTCATGTGTTTTCTTGGAGGATTTGCTGTGTGAAGGAAATCACCCTTTTTTCATTTTCCATTTTGTTGATGAGCTGGGGCTGATTTTTTGGAGGGTTGGCGTTAAAGACTCCGCCTTTGACTGTTCTTGGTGTGTGGATTTTTTTTTACAGCTTTCTTGAAGCAATTTGGTTGTCTCCTGGGAGTGTTGGTTGGTGGTTGGATTCTTGTGTTTGTTTTGTTCGAGTAGTTGGGAGAGTGGCTTTATGGGGAGAATTTAGGTGCTTTTATGAGGAATTCAGGTCAAATTAGGCGCCTTTGGTTCTTGATTTCCCAGGAGGTTTTGATTTGATTTGGTTTTTCCTTTTGAAATTTGGTGAGAGAGCTTCCTTCAATCCTCTACTTGTTTTGATGGTTGGAGGTGATAGGGGACACATTTGATTCTCCTTTGTAGACAAACCACAAACTTAGAGTTGGATTTGATCCTTTCTTGGGAGGATTTGGAGTGAAATAGTCCAGTTTAGTATTTGGGAGAAAAATATTTGGTCCTTCAGTGCTTTCTTTTGGAGAATTAAGTCTGTTCATCCAAGAATTTGAGGGGGAAGAAGGCGGCACTTTCTACAGGATTGGAAGTCGCTAATGGCAGTGAGTAATTCTTTTCTTACTTCTGAAGATTGAATAATCCATCTCTGATTTATCTTGCATTTCATCTTACTGAGCTGGTGCTGGAAATCTTGGTACTTCATAATGCATTAATGCGTATTGATTTCATTTAGGGCATATGGTACTTCTATATAGTTTTATTGTTTTATTATATTATAGAGTAAATTGCATATTGGACAATATATTAATGTTTGGGAGAAGCCACTGGTTTCAGACTAACCAATTTAGTAAATTATTTTTGTGCACCTTTGTTTCGTTCAGGTTTAAGTAATTTTTGTCGTTTCGTGCTTGGGAGAAGCTTTTGCAACAATTTTGATCTGCAGCATTTCTGTATGGGAGCTGCAGAGTCATACGGGCATATAATGTACTGATTTTTTTTCGGGAATACACATATGATGTACTGATGATATAGATATCTACTTTACTGGTAGTTAGATAATGTATGCTTTTTGCGTTTTGTGGTAATTATTCTGCTATGCACGAGGCCGCTATATGTTGTAGGTGATTGTTTTTCACATTGATGTACAGTAAGAGATTTTGCAAAGAGGACATGGTTCATTGTTGATTTCATTTGTTTTTCCAATGAAGTTCGTTTGCTGAACTTGGATAACCTACTTGTATCTAGCAGCTACACTGAAGATCCTTTTCTTATGTGCGTTTGACCATCTCATAGTTTTCATTAGAATTTATCATATGATTTGGATTCTTCTTTTGTGTAGCTACCTGTCAATCTGCAATGTTCGTGAGATATTCCACTGTTTACGGGGTTCCAGTTCATAGTTATTTGGAAAAAAAAAAACTAGTACCCTTAGCTTAGTGCCCAACATAGTTTTGCATGTTAGAGAAATGGAAAACCTTTCTATCTTTGCTAGTTTCATTTCCCCAAAATGGTAAATTATAAATTCCCTGATTTCATATGGACATTTTATTTGCTCTGTCAATCATCATAAATCGGCTTAAGGCTTGACAAGATTTACCAACCTATTTTTCTTTGGACAGCAACCTGACATTCCAGCATTTGGGAACTGGGACACCACTGGCAACACACCATACACACAGAAGTTTGAGAATGCCCGCAAAAACAAGAAAGCGGGCATTTCTTCCCATCCCAACGATCCAAGGAGGCACCCTGAACCTCCATCCAAGTCACCTTTGCATCCAGCATACACACCTGATGCTCAGGGGCAGAGTCCAATGAATCCACAGCATGGAAGAAGGCAGGAAGCTGATCCCCATCGACGGCATTCGCTTTCTCAGCAGCGAGAGGTAGGCGGTGGCATCGGTAGCGCACCGAGAAGCCCATACAGGATGGTTCATGGCTCCGCTTCACCAGCGCAGCCGAACAACCCATCGAAGCCGAAGCACAGGTCATCTGGAATGCAGACTCCAGAGAGGAGGGCTTCATCGGAGGGACATGGCCAGCATACTCCTAGGAGGAGCAGGGACAAGCAGGGTGGCCGAGGCTATGATGCAGTACATTCTAAATCCCTTTTTGTTTCTTGTTAATCCAGAGAATTTTGCCTATGGAGTAATGTGATGTTGCTTTTGCGTTTTTTTTTTCCAATCCAGCCTGAAGATGATGTAGCTGTTCCACCGTTTGGTGAGTGGGATGAGGGTAATGCAGCATCAGGCGAAAAATTTACTGGTATCTTCAACAGGGTGAGGGATGATAAATTATCGCCAAACACTTCTACCAGGCAACCGGACACTAATCGCAGCCAGGAAAACAAAGTGAAACAGGTATATATACACAAAAAAAACATTTATTTTTCAGGCTCTGATATGAACAAAAATTTTTATGCCTTAGTTTGATTTTGAATTCCTACTGGATACCACTTACAGAAACTGTAAATATTATTGCCAATTTTCGTTGCGGAATTGGTAGCTTTACTACCATAGAAAAATGATGCATATCAAACAAAATAGAAATATTCCCTTGGATTATAGGGTTATATGACCATCGGCAGATAATCCTTCTGTGCTTGTTATACTAGCTATTCATATATTTTACTGCTCCTATATCACAATTTCTCATAGCACTTCTAATGGGGAAAACATGAAGAACAAAATGAAATGTTAAACCTTGCTCAAGAACAAGATACACGCCTACACATACTGCAATTAGATCCAGTTAATTTCATTTACAGACACAACCCAGTATGGAGTTTGAGCATAACCTTCTTACTGATATGTCAATGCTACTGCTACATCACAGCATTTTACTTAAAAGGCACAGCTTGTATGGTTTGTTGTTTTGGACATAGTACATGATGAAACTTAGCACCATAATGTTAAATTATGACATATCTAAGTACTTGCGAGAGTAAACAAACCGTATTCAGAAATAAGTGTGACTGTCTGTAATATTGAGATGTACTTTCTTTAATTCTTGCACAGTTAACATTCTCTGTTATGAGTTACACTGACACTCAGGTGATATTATGGACTTATATCTATTTTCTCTTTTTCTCCAGACATGCCCTTGCTGTATACTTTGAGACAACGGGGGATAAGATCACAGATATTGCTGGAGAGGTTCCTTAGCTACTTGTTGATCAGATTGCTACATTGTGAATTTTCAATTTTCATCGAACTCTGTTCATGTATTGTTTTCCACGTTTATTGTTGTCGGTGTGAGTATGTATCTGTAATTGAATTTTCCAGTCATCTAGTTTCTATGATTATTCGAAACATATATAGGGTGCCGTTTGGCTCTGGGAAGCATGGAGTGAGAAATTTTCCTTGCTGATAATAAAATGTTTCCAGAATTGCTTCTGTGTCTTCCTGGATGATTATAGGGGTATTTTGTCAGCTACCATATGATTCCTTGTTTGAATCAAGAACATAAAGAGTAAGCTAAGATTATGAAAACAACCAGTTAAATCTCATATGCTCTCACCCTCCATCTAACCATTTCAGGCTGCTGCTTGAGAAGTTCATACTAATAAAATACAAGCTCCTTTTAAGCTCCCACTGAACAGTGATTGTTAACGATGAATAGGAAAGTTTCTAGAGAGCCTCTTAGTAAAAGAAAGGTTCATGAAATTATGAAACTACAATTCAATATTATTTGCATTTGACATAACCTAAATTGCCATAAAGTACCGAAGAAAATTAACAGCATTCAAACTATCGTCATCAAAAGGACATAATCCATATCATATTTGGAACAGTTGTACAAAGTTCACTATATACCTTTTTTTAATGGAAGTTACATAGTTACTGATACTTTACATATCTCTAAGCTGGAAATGTATTGTAATAATGGGGATGCATTAGCAGATTCAAAAATTCTTTGTTCTCTGTAGAATAATCTGTTACTATTGGTATTGCCTTGGTGAATAGAATATATTTTGAGCATTACTTGTTGCCTTGTACTTGCTGGAGTGGCAACTAGAAGCTACCTTAGTTTCCTTATTGGCAGGGCGCGGCTGAAGACCTTCTCAACCTCAGTTGCTTCCATGTTCATCTGATCCAAAAGCTCCATCTCCTCCTTGCTTAGCCCCTGAAAGAAGTTCATCAAGTCCTGTTTCACCTCCATGAGGCCATCTGTCAACCTCTTGAACAATGTGACCTCCTCCTCCTCCAGCTCCTTCACCTCTCCCTCGATCTCGCCCTCGATCTCCTGCACTTCCCTGATGATGGTCTTCTCTCCTTGCTCGACGGTCTTCTCTATTCTCTCCACAAGAGGTGGCTCAGGACCGCAGGTGTTGTCGGTTCTGATGAATGTGGAGAAGTCACGACCTACGCTTTTTGCCGCCCTTTCTAGCTCAGGTACTATTGATTCAGGCACAACTTTGCTTCTGGTGTACAGAACAGCACCTCCATATCCATCCCACGCATCATTTCTGCCGCGGTAGTACACGAAAATGTAGTCATCTTCCTTGTTCTCTACTTTGGATGAGATAATGTACCTACATTTCAGAAAATCTTAGTAATAAATCTGAAGTACAGCGTCAGAAGGTGCTATCTAAGGGACATACCAGTCATCTTGATAGTGCAGGAACTCGTTGTCATGGTTATAGAGGATCGCGGGTTGTGCTGGGTCCTGCACAAACCGCTGTATGGCTGTTCTGGTGAAGAAGCCAGAGTCGGGGGTGCGAATTCTCCATGTCAAGTTCGCTATAAGTTTGTCTCCCTCGACACGGAACTCGTGAAGTTGGCAATCGAATGTGTCGAAAGTGGGATTGAGGCCACTTGAAATATACCACTTGCCGTTGAAATCAGCCATGTTGAAGTTCTTGACAAGGGCGGATGGATCAGGGACTGGGAACTCGCCAACGTCGGACTTTTGTGGGACGCATTTCTTGCGCGAAACAGCACACTCGTTGAACTCATCGACCACAGTGTTCTCAAACAGATCTCCACATTTGATCTACAATATGACAAGATACAGCACAGGTTATTCTTCTGAGGAAATGATCTGAACTGATTGGTTTCTGGGAAATGGAACCACCTGGCATTCAGTCTCGTCAGGGCGATTGTTGCATGTATTTAAGCATGCTACATTCGCTGCACAGGATGGGTTTGCTATGCATTTGGCCAGCTCTATTCTGAAATTGATTCCATTACATTGGTATAAGAAACATATGAACACACAAGATCCGCAGAACTCACTTGTATGACTGATTAAACATTGTAAAAATGTACTGCCTTAAACAGGATCAACTGTATCTGTATTGACAAAATGACAATTGCATAGATTCAGTAGATGCTGGTGTATCATTGTTTTGAACAATGGCATGTGGTGTTGCTGGACTTCAGTTAAGCAAAACAAAGTAATGTTTCCTAAAAATTACAGTATCGATGTTCGACAAGGCGAATGCACACGGTTTGGAATCATGCTTGGAACAAATGCAAAAAAAGGGAATCCCACTCACCTGCACTCCTTGAGAAGGCAAGTGCATGTCTTGAGAGCATCCACAGCATCGGCAGAAGGGACTACAAGAACAGCACACGCCACCAGCCCTGTCATGGTGACCAAATGCGACCTGCTCCACTCCCTGATGCTGCTTAGAGCATCTGAACCTTGCAGCACCGTGTGGGCCTTGATCTATCAAACAAATCACCCAAAACCCAATCCCCTTTTTTTCCTTGTCAATAAGAAAGCAAAATTGGGAGTGTGCAATCACAAGAAAATGAGGACTCGGTCAATCACCTCGGAACAACGAGCAGAGATCTTGGCATGATGGAGAGGAAGATGATCGCCCTTCCTCCATAGGTGAGCCCTCGGGGGGCAGCACCGGTGGTACCTGACACCGCCATGGCTCCTCCTCCTGCTGGAGGTGACAGTGCTGATACCACCTCTGGTCTTGCGGCCATGGACGACCACCACCGTGCTCGATCCCTCCGCTAGCAACGCGCGATTCCCGCACTGCCGCGGCATCATCTGACCAAGAAACACAAAACAAGAAGAGAAAGAAAGATTCAAGACCCAGCAAGGAAAAATGCGAGCCCGGGCAAGAACTGACAAGGAATCCTGAGTTCCTCTGACCTGGGTTGCGGCCGCGGCGGCCGGCGGAGCGAGGAGGAGGGGATCGAGAGCTCGAGCAGCGGCGATAGGGCGGCGGCGAGGGGGAGATGGATAACGCGCGCGCCGCGGAGGGGCTTGGCTTGGCTTGGCTCGCCTTCTTGTTTGTGTGGCGGGGAGGAGGCGATGCCGCAAGGGGCGAGTGCTGGCCAAATGGGCCGGGCCAAGGCCTCGGTAACCACTGTAGCCGGCCCAGGCACGCCCGCTTGTGGGCCGTGCCGTGCTTGGGCCGACGTATGAGACCATGGGCCGGCACGGCACGGCACGGCCCGTTGGCCCACCAAATTTTTCCTGTTTTCCCTTTTCTTTTCATATATTTTTGTTTATTTTCTCTCATTTCTCTCGTTTTCCCCCGATTTTTCCATATGTTGTTTTCTATTTCCCACTAATTTTCGTCATTTTTTATAATATTTTCACAAATTTTCCTTTTTCATCTTCTTTTCACATTTTTTCTTTATTTTTCGGCCTCATATTCAATTTTGTGGGCCAAACGTGCTAATGGGCCTACACCGGCCCACGTGCTATATTTGGGCCCGTGCCGGCACGGCACGGCCCGTGGCCTTACTGGGCCGTGCTTGGTCCGAGGCCTTAGCACGTGGGCCAGCACGGCACGGCCCGCAACAGGAGCCGTGCCTGCTGGGCCGGGCCGCCCGTTTGGCCCGACGTGGCCGCGGACTAGATCGCAGTTCGGAGTTTTTGGAGGGGGGATTTCTCAAAATCGCCACCCATTTTTTTCGAAGTCGGGGGAAATTTTTCTTGGGCGGGAGAGGGGAGGGGATTGCCATTGCTGCTGCTGCTAATGGCGGAAACCCTAGCCGAGGACGCCGCCGACGCGCCGCTCGACGCGGCGGCCATTCGAAGGTAGGTGGCTAAACCCTCCGCCGTCCTCCTCCGATTCGCCCGCGCGGATCAGGTGTTCGTTCATCTCAGTTTTTTTTTCGTTTTGTTTTCGTTTTTGGGTCAGCCGGTTGGAGCGGCTCGCGCTGTCGCGGCGAGGGGAGGAGGAGGTTGCTTCGGCGGCGGCGGCGGCGGCGGACGCGGTGCGCCGCCTTCCCTCCGTGGAGGACGTGGTAAGTGGACTGGCTGTGAACGTCGAGGGTTTGGTTAATTTGAATTTTATTACTATGAGGGGAGAGAAAAATGGGTGCGCTTTTAATTTTAATTTTGTTTTCCTTGAGAAAATCGAGGCATGCTAAATCATTTTGTGTTTCTGGGTTCTGTGTTTGTAGGAACCTTTGCAGGGGTTGGAATTCGACGCATGGGCCTCGAGCGCCGCGCCGATGGAGAGCGACTTTGGTTAGCTGTCTGATTCCATTTTAATTGTTGTGGTGTTGGTTATCAGTGGCATAATCATACCAGCTTGAGCTTAGTCCACATATCCTGTGCAAATCTACTCGTAAAATTGGATTTTCATACTGCTAGATGCGTTCATGGAATGGTTGAGTAAGGAGGTAAGCTTGGCTGAGGAGGAGAACCGCAAACTATCTGTTGAAATTAGCAGCGTTGCAGAGACAACTCTCAAAGGTTTGCTTCTCTTGAGTCTCTGTTATTTAAGGTCCTGTTAATTGACAACAGCATGCTCCTCGCAGTTCTCCCTTCAACACCTAACACTTTGTTATCTAGATTCGATTCAGTTGGATGCTGATATTGCCGAATTGGAGTCTTCATTGAAGAAAATTGATTCACAGGTTGTTCTTGAATGCTTAACCCTGTAATCCTCATTATTTTCTTATCTCTATCACTTCTGAGCTTGCTAAATATTTTTTAAGTTGCTTCACCCAAATGAATGGGAAGTACAGGATTGTTCCCTAGATGGAATGTACACGTCAACTGTTTGACTCCTGTCATATAATTGTGTTACTTTCTTGCTTCACTCACTTCCATTGAATCTCATTTGTAGCTGGTTAGCTGCACAATTTAATAACAAGTAGTACAGGGCTTTGATTGCCATAATGACATTCTAGTGTTAGTGTTTACCTATCACTTGGGTTGGTTGGATGTAATTTTGTAGTATTGCCAAATATTTTACTCTTTTGAAACCTACATTAGTTCTTTTTTCTCAAGCAATGCTGTGCCCTTTCTTTATGCAGGGTTTGAAACACTTGGAGGCAAGCCACATCGCTGAGTTATCAGTTTCAACTGATTCATGCAGAGACCAAATTAAATTTGACAAGGACTACAAGTATGAGGTGTGGTTATATGGTCTAATAGTTGACAGATTCCATGTATCATGCTGTCTATGCTAAAGTGCTGATTATATTAGACAACTTTAATGAGCTAAATATGAGATGAATCAATGCAATGTCTTCACAATATAATTTCTCGAATGCAGATTTTGTTCTCTGTTGAACATTGTGTCATACAATCTGGTAGTCACTGTACATTTCTCAATGCAGTTCTCCTACATAGTAACATAGACAGCATTTCCCACCTCTTTATATAAAAACTGTATTCCTCAAACAAAAACACATGCAGTCATACATATGCTTTCACACAGAGTAGTATCGAATATCGATGACAATCAAGCATATGGATATAATGCATATGCGGTAATAGCCTTTTTGTATTGAGATTTTCCATTTTTGCAATTTGCCTTTTAATATACCTGTTTTATGATTTCCTAGGTACTGGAACTTAACCAACAGCTGGAAAAATATGAGAATGACCTGAAGCTGTTAGAAAACCAAAAAAGGTAGTACTGCTTGTTTATGTTCAGAATGATATGACATCTTAATCTTGTAATGGAATTAGTTTACAGCATCTTAGCATTGCCAATTCTAGTTCTACTCATTTATCATATTTTGAACAATATGACATTATGATTTATCATAATAATAATCTAGCTTGTCATATTCTGTATGATTTTCAAAACTTAATACCATTTGTTTTCAATAATGAGTAATTTAATTTATCTTACAGATGAAGTTTCTCAGATTCCACATGGACTTTATCTGATTGTCAGTTTGAGTAAAACATTTATTGTGATGTTTTCATGAATTTGAACTCTGCCATGTTTCTTTTTTGAAATTCCCTGGAAATAATAAATCTGTTGCTTCACATTTTATTTGTAATTCTTTAAGAACAGAATGGACCTAAGCTTGGTTTACTGTTATCTAATGATGCGTGGAGATTAAGCCATGTGATGTGCACTACTTGACTATATTGTAGCACCCATTTATCCATTTTTTATCTTCCTCAGTTTCAGCATTTCAATCTTCTAGAAGACCTTCTCATCCCAAATCCCAGCACTATTCTTATTTGCCTATATTGTTAACTTGAGGACATAAATGTTTTAGCTATCCATTTCTTGGTCTGGTTTTGAGCTGGTGATTCTGCTGCTGTACATATCTTCATTATTTTCAGCCATGAACTCTTTGGTCGGTCTCCTGCTTGGCTTTATACTTAAAGATTTAAAGTTTATAACTGCAGAATACATATTCTTACCCTTGCATCATTAAGTTTGTTAACTTCTAAATGTTGAACCATGATTACCTGTAGGTTTCATGCATCATTCCATCCTGTTAAGATGTGTTATTATAGTCATTTGAGGTTTAATTGCATCTGACCTACATTTAGTGTTTATGTTTCCTCTGGTTTGAAGATTTGAATTTTCTACTGACATATGTACCATATCCAGTGCTGAAGCAATGTGGGAACTTGAATCTATGTTATCAGAAGCAAATGTTTTAGACTTTAAAGACAATTGTCTCAGGGTATTCCTGAAGGAAGCTGTACTCACGCCTGAATGTTTAATGTACGGGAAAGAGTCAGATTGTTCTGTTAATTCATTCGTTTCAGACCATGAATTGCTGATAGAAGTTGGAGAAAACATGGAACCAAAGAAAGTGCAGGTAATCTCATAACTGAATTTGTCTTCACATTTTAAAATAAATTATCTCTGGGATCTAATCATTTTGCATTATGCATCTACCATTGATTTTGCATGCAATGCCTTATGCTTGTATATATTTTTCTGTCCTAAATGCAATGATGCGCAGTCCTCCTGCATATTTGAGAAAGCAAAATGTAATGCCTTATGCATTGCCTGCGGATTACTGGTTGTCACAATTGAAATCACAGAACAAGATGTGAATAATAACGTGAGTCCATGTGACCATTGCTTAGGAGATAATGATGATTTTTTGTTTCACTCTTGCATAACCGTGGGCAAGAAAAGCAAGCTTAGTTCAGTTTCACTGTCCAAACCATGCCATGTTTATTAATAATGACACAACAGGAATTTGCCTTTTTAGGAATTTGTACTGGTTATGTATATTCTGAGTTTGTTTTATGTTTTTTCAGATATTTCCTGATGATACCTGTGTAGATATACTTCTTGATAAGCTCAAGGCCTCCAGGTATTCTGCATTTGTTACCTTCTCTTTCACAAAGCTTGCTTGATATTCTTCCAAATAAAAAGCTAGCTTGTTGAAACAATGTGATCAATTAATGTTTAAGGTGATGATGTAGATTCAACACGGTTTCGTTTCTCATGTTAGCAATAATGTCAATTTCTCTGTTATTCTACTGACCAATGTTTCTTTCTTCTTTATGCATTCTTACACTCAAATGAACTCTTTTTGTAGAGAGACCATTTCTACTACATCACTGGGATGGATTATTCGGCAATTTCAACACCACATTATAATCAACACTTTGAGGCGTTCCTTGGTGAAAGATGCTAATAATTCCAGGTAACATGATTCACCATTCCTTTGCATTTTGCTAGTAATTTTTTTATTTGTTGATGAAACTTGAAAGTTGAAATTAGTAGTTGCAAGGATTCCGTGTTCTCTACACCTGTACGTTGAGTATACCAAGTTTACAAGATTTAGGAAAGAACTAAACCATAGGTGTCCAACATTGTAACGTATGCACATAATTTGTTGCTTCCCGTTCAATTTTTCTTATTTTGGTGAGACCACATTCTTACAGGCATTCTTTTGAGTACATTGACAAAGATGGGACAATTCTAGCTCACTTAGCGGGTGGCATTGATGCCTTCATCAAGATATCTGCAGACTGGCCACTGTCATCCTGCGGCCTGAAGTTAATCTCCATTCACAGTTCCAGGGCGCAGTCAGCAGATATTTCTTTAGCTTTGCTTTCCAAAACAAAGGTACAGATGGTCATCTCAGCCCCAATGCTTGTATTTTCAGCAGTAAAATTATGCGTACAAATTCTGAAACCGTAGAAAGAATCATTTCCAGCATTCACAATTTTTATTATATCTCGTTGAAACAAACCACCAACCTAATCAAATTTTTGTGTTCTGCAAAACATTCAGGAACTGGCCAATGGATTGGAGCTTCAGACTCGTCGACATCTGGTGAAGTTTGTAGATGCAATTGAAGATATTCTTTTTCGAGAGATGCGGTCGTAGCAGCTCCATTCCAGCAAAGCATGTCTTAGAAGACTAGACTTGACCCAACCAGCCTCCCCATCATCTTGATGACAAGGAGAACGTAGCATATCAATCTCCGGGTGACCACCTTGTAAGCTTGCACGTTGTAAAGGTCTGATCACATTTATTAATGTGCGCATGAGATGTTTAAGAAATGACCAGTAAAAGCATGGGAAAACATAAACTGATTAAGCCCTTTTTCAGAGCTCTTTCTTTTTCTTTTTTTGTATAATTGTGAGTGAACCATTTGAAAATTCAGTCCCAAGATTAAGGTGCTTGAGTCGTGCTAATCTGAGAAACGTCATTAGTTGGAGTGTCATGGTGGCAGACTAATAAAGTTATGGACTCCTATAAGAAAAGGACTTTTATTATGGGCAGTCCGAAACGCGTGTTTACTTGCAAAATCGTGGACTCCTATAAGAAAATGACTTTTATTATGGGCAGTCCGAAACGCGTGTTTACTTGCAAAATCGTGTAAGCAAGCATCAACCAGCTGCGTACAGATGGCATGAACAATTTTTTAAGGGTGCAGGGCAACCGACCATCGTCGATACAACCAACGAGCGCGTAAGTTCAGATGGTTCGGATGGGAATTTGAACGCAGTTTCAGTCTTTCAGAAACTACTCATTTAAGCATCTAAGCATCCGAACCAAATTGTTAAGCATCTAAGCATCGATATAAACGAAGTCACCACAGATAGATGTCTTGCTATCGATGGTTTTTCCTACTATTAAAAGAATAATTAATTGTAAATATGGGAATTCATGTCAAATTTAAGACTTGAAACTGTCACTGAAAGAATAATTAGTCTAAATACAAGCACACATAAAAAAAATAATTGACTAAAAGATGAGTGAACAAGTTCAACCAAAAAAACTCAACTGAGGTATGTTCACTTCAAATCATATAACTTTGCACTTAAATCGTACGAAACTTTTAACTTTCGTCGAAGAACTTTCATACGAAAACTTGAAAGCGTGCGCTAAGCGATCCTGGTTGGTTCCGGATATCAGCTGATGAACAGCACAGACATTTCAATATGGATTCAGAGCTCAAAACGAACAAGCCGATCAATCTTATTACTGCTAAATTCAGAGCACAAAAGATAGTCTGGATTTTAGACTACTTAATCATGCGACAGTGCACACGCTTGTCTGTATACAAATCTCCATTATTACTTTAAAACTTATACAAGTCATGTAAAACCTGCAAGTACACATAAATGTCACCATACTCATCTCACATCAATACAACATAAGTTCACTCTGTTGCATCTCACATCAGCTTCTCACCAGACTCATCGACACTGTTATCAACTTAAAAGACAACAGATTTTGTGAGGGCAGATGGACAGGTAATTGCATTCTACCCCAGCTAGATAACCTAGATTTTTTTCCATATAGAGAACCTCATATCTTAGAACCAATATATAGGATGCAGTCTCGGTTGCTCACTGATCATGATCAAAGCTGCACTTTGCGGTCATAAACCCAGCTGAAAGGAATAACAGGCGCTTGCTTAGCTCTTGCTTGGGCTCTTTCATCCAGCCGCCTGATTCTCGGCGCCAACGTGCAGACGAAATCCTGAGCCCTTCTCCCTTCTCCGGACAGCCCGGTGAGATCTGCGACTTTCCACCTCTGGACCAAGAACTCCAGGATGTCGGCATAGTCTCTTGCAGTGTAGACACCCAGCCGCTGTGCCACAGCGCTGAAATGCTCGAACAAGTTGTCGTCCTTGCCGTCATACATCAGATGAGCAGGCATTGAGATCTTCTTCCTCATCATGTCAGCAAATGCAAGAACTGTGTAGTCAGGATCAATCTCGAAGAGCTTCTCCACTATCTTGGTGTAAGCTGTCTCATGGCGCTTCTCATCAGCTGCTATTGTCCCACATATCTGAGCCAGCTTAAGGTCCCCGTACTCCTTGGCGTGCCTTGCAGTATTGCCATGGGATATAAATGTAGCTCTTTCTTGAAATGATGTGTAAAGGAAACCCAAGTAGGGATTATTCTCAGTTCCTGGATCCTGCAGAAGGTAGGTACAAGAGGTGAAATTAGATTCGTGGCTAACAATGAAATTAATTTATGAATAACCATACCACGGTTGATTCTAAAATGCAGTGAATCATCTAACCATGTTTCCTTCAAAAACAAAAAATGAAGCACATTTTCTATGGACTGACATGGTGCAAGCAATTTATCAAGTAGGCACGTAAATATAAGTCAATGTTTTTACTTGCTTTAGAAGTAAAACTGTACATGAAAGGTTATGTTGTCCAATGCTTTAATAAAATGAATAGCGCTCAGTTCTCAAAATATTATTTTAAGAATATTGGAGACATGGCTATTGATAACAAGGTTATCCACAATAGCATTGTAAACTTAAGTAAAAAGGAAAATAATATCATCATGCCTAAATAGATATTAGCTCTTACCATCCCAGACCCAATCAGGTATTGTATTGTCTTCTCAATTTGTTTCATGTCAACACGTCCAGTAAGGTACATGTACTTATTAAGAAGATCACCATGCCTGTTCTCTTCAGCAGTCCATGCTCTTGTCCAAACAGCCCAGGTGGTTGGGCTTGCGCCAGTTTCATCTCGGACACCATCAAGGGTGTTAAGCATTGTTTGATAGGTAGGAAGAGCTTCCTCAGTAACCATGTCTCCAACTAAGCAAACAAAGTAGTCATCAGGGATCTCCTTAGCCCTCTCCCGCAGCTCTTTTACTTCATCATAAAACCCATCGGAAGAAGGGTCTGGCAGGAAGTCCTGTGGCTGCCATGACTTCTCAACTGGCTTCAGGAGGTTCAAAAGGTTCTCTTTGGCCCAAGGTTGAAGCGAATCGAAAATCTCCCGCTTTTGGGGTGGCAGTGAATGCTTGACTTGGAGATGAACTTCACGTGGAGGAGTGTAGGGCTTCTTAGCAGTCTTGACCCTACAAAAAATTGAAGTAAATTAGAAGAATGGAGAAGAAATATCGCATAATAGATATGAAAGTAGTTTAATTAAAGCTTATAGAAAGGTAGAGTGATGTATCCAGCTCATAATAAACCATCTGCCACCAAATCTCTAGGCTGGGAATCCTTTCAGTCCTTGAAGCAATTTTTTTACGGTGTCCAAGAAAAGAAAATCAAAAAATACACCTAACACCTGTTCTTTTCTCCAACAAGAGTTGGATGAAGATTAAAATTTTCGTGGCACGCTTTTCAAACTGCTAAACGGTACGTTTCTTATGAAAACTTTCTATATGAAAGTTGCTTTAAAATATCATATAAATCTATTCTTAAAGTTTGTCATAATTAAAACTCAATCGATCATACGTTAATACCACCTCGTTTTGCGTAAAAAACTTCATCTTCATCTTCATGTGAAAAGAAAGGTCTGATGTTTGTATAGACAGTTTAATCAAACCAGTGTTTATCAAAAATATTTTTTCAACCTAGGTAAAAGCCTAGGACAGGATAGATGGACAAAAGTAATATCATTAGTAGTAACTACGATTTCGAGATTTTCCAAGATAGGTACATTGACAAGCTTGAAACTACCATGTTCTCTGAGCTCTACATGATAATATCCAGTGTTGATTGATTGATAAACCAAACAAAAACAGTAAACGTAATGCAAAATTCACTCCATAATTGGCATGGTATATAATCATGAACCGCATATGTATAACTGTTATCAAATCATGGGAGGCAATGACGCAGATCCTCTTTCTGCCCTTTTGTTACACTAGCGTTACTTTCTTGTTGATAATTCTAAATTATTAGTAAAGTAGAAGAAAACTACAGCACAGACCTAAAAACAGCAGAAAAAAAATGAAAATTTCTTAAATTCATAATTCAAATTGAATATAGAAGGTGCTTCTGTGCTCTCTAGAAAGAAGAGGCTACACAAATCCTAAAGCAGTACTGTTAGCGGTGGAGTACACAGGTGGTTGCAAAGCAGGCCTTAAATGTTCAGAATCAGTCTATCACCATCAACAGATTTGAACATGTTCAGATCTCAACAGCTATTCGACTAGTTTTCAGCTTTCTCCCCGCATCCACCCTAAGCGAAAAGCATGGAGAAAAAAAAATTCTGGATCACCAACCCACTTTAATTTTACCATTTCACCTATCTCAGTTGGTTGATGGTGGTTCCATAAGAAGCAGTGCTTTCAACTCAACAATTCAACAGTACATGCATCTCTAATTCTCTATAACTTATCTATTTAACCAGCGGATTAGCCTGACGAAAGGATTACTCGCAGAGGATATTGACAGGTTATTAATATTCAGTCCCAGTTTCAAGAGTTCAACACCATCACATAGCCATCATTCACCAGGAAAATTTCAGGTCAACAGACCGATTTTGTTTAAAAGCGTCGAAGATACACAAATTGAACGGACCAATTTTTGAACGAACAAGTCCCTAATCGCCCTAAACTACAAGTTTTTAATTGCTAGAAGCAACTGCACAGGAATAATTTACATCTAAATGGGTAAGATCGCATCAAAGCTTTAGATAATCATCCATGGTCAATTTCAGGCAATAGTTTCAGCAAAATCATCAACATAATCAACTTATGGTGGCACATGCAGAAACCAAATATCACAAAGCTGCAAAAAGAAAAAAAAATGGACAGATCATCAAATCCGGAGCGGATCACGGACGAACCCATCGAGATCACGAGCAGGGAGGAAACCCTCGGGTCGGATCAGAGGCCAGGAAATCTGGAATCAAGCATCCCCCAGAGAGAACCCAAACCAACCCAAGCTCAAATCAATCTTGGAACACCTCTGACCCCCAGGATCTCGATGAGGAGGTGGGAGATGAATCCCCCACAACACACCACGGAGCACGCAGAACATGCATTTTTCACCCCCCAACGATTTGACTTGATCCACCGCCAGATCACAAATCTCACCAACCCCAGAGAAGCAAGAACCAAGAAGAACCCCGAAGCGCGCAAGAACCCACCCTACCAAACCAAGATCACGCGCGCGACGGGGAGGGAGGGAGGGAGGGAGGAGGGACTAGAGGGATCCGGTCACCTGTTGATGGTGGAGGCCATGGCCACCACCGGCGACATCCCATTGCTCCTCCTCTGCGCCACACCGCCGCAGGAGGACGGCGATGCGGTGTGGGACGCCGCGAACGCCATGAGCAGCGGCAGCGAGATCTCGGGGATGATTCTTCCCCTCCTCGCGTTCTTGTCCACCTGGACTTCTGCTAGCAACAGCAGGGGGTTAGAGAAGGGGTTTGTGTAAGAAAGAAGATGGGCTATTAATAGCACAATGAGAGGGG